ATCTTGTTAAGTGCCCAGTGATCTCATTTAGGTTCCTCAGCAACCAATTCTAAATAATAGCGTTAAACCTCACTAAAATCTATGTTATAAATACTCAACTATGCTCTCAAGTACGTCCTTCTGACTCTCTCTTTCTCTCTGTTTTTTGTTTGTTTGTTTGTTTGAGATAGGGTCTCACTGAATAACTCTGGCTGTCCCGGAACTCATTAGGGTAGACCAGGCTGGCCTTGAACTCACAGAGAACCACCGGACTCGGCCTCACAAGAACGGGGACTAAAGGCCTGTACCACCACGTCCAGCCTCTCATTTTCTCTTAATCTTTTTTGTTTGTTGATGGAGGTGGGTCTTGTAATAATAAAGAAACTGCCTCGGTCCTCATAGGACAGAAAATTAGGTAGGCGGAGTAGACAGAAGAAAATTCTGGGAGAAAGAAGCTTAGTGAGAGGAGTCACCATGATGCTCCCGCTCCAGACAGACACAGGTTAAGATCCTCCCTGGTAAGCCAGCTCATGGGCTACACAGAATATTAGAAATGGGTTAGAACAATATGTAAGAGCTAGCCAATAAGAAACTGGACCTAGCCGGGCCAGACAGTGTTTGAAAGAATACAGTTTCCGTGTAATTATTTCTGGGTATAAACTAGCCATGCGGGCGGCCGGGTGCTGGGGACACAGCCCTGCCGCTCCTAATTCAACAGTTTGTTTGTTTTTGTTTTTTTGAGACAGGATTTCTCTGAGTAACAGTGTCCTGGAACTAGCTCTTGTAGACCAGGCTGGCCTCAAACTCACAGAGATCCACCTACCTCTGCCTCCCGAGTGCTGGGATTAAAGGCGTGCGCCACCACCACCCGGCTCATTTTCTCTTAATCTTTATGCTTAAAGTTAATATTCAGACTGGGCTTAGGGAGTACATGACTTTAATTCCAGTACTCAGGAGGCAGAGGTACCCCAGCCTGGTCTATATAGGGTTCCTTGCCAGCCAGCACTGTACAGTAAGACTGTTTCAAAACAAACAAAATACCTCAATAACAACAACAACAAACAAACAAACAAACAACTGTTGTGGGGTAGCCAGCAAAGAAGACTGTTCAGATGGGGGTTTAAGCCGATCCCAGTGCGACACCGAGCCTTTCTCAGGGTGAGCTTTTAAGCACAAAATCATGTCCTAGGCTGACACACTTCAGTTAACAAGAGCAATTAGCCAGAAGCAGAATTACAGAAGCCAAAAAGCAAGGTTTGAGAAAAAGGGATAAAAAAGGAAGGACATGACTTTTCCTAGGGGTGGTGGGGGAGAGAGTTTATTGTAGATAAGAGGGAGAGCAGCGGCAGAGTTATCTGGGACAGTCCAGAGTAAACATGACCCTGGAGTGGAGACTTTTAGGGTAGGAAGCTGGGTGTGAAGGCAGCCATACCCTGTGACAGCCAGGGACTGAGGGATGCTGGGAAAACCTGGCAGCCAGGGTCCACTTTGATATGTTGATAGGCACCTTAGTTAGCCACCTGTCTGGTTTTGAGACCTAACAGGTTCATTTGGAGAGACTTCCCCAGAACTATAGACTTTGACGGATTAGACCTTTGTTTTTGTTTTGGCAGGTGGTGCTATTTACATGTTGACTTTTATATAGCTTGAATGGCATTTCTACCATGGAGTCAGTTGTGCTAAGGCCTGGGGGCCTACTAAGATCTGGGGCCCTGTTACCAAAACAAAATCTCTACCTAAAGGCTGGTTGTGGCACACATCTTTAGTCCTGGTGGATCTCTGATCACTGTGAGTTCGAGGCCAGCCTAGTCTAGCCTGGTCTAGATAGCAAGTTAGGGCTGTATAGGTGAGACTCTGGTCCTGGAACCTCCCAAATATCATGAAATATAATGTGTCAGGGTCCACCCTCGACAGGTTTGTACTTTCTCATAGGTTTTATAGACCTCAATCCAAAGAGGAGGGGGAAGACAAAAGACTTCTTTACCCAGATGCAAGGAACAAAGCAACCACCTTCTCAATACCCAAAGCATCAAGTAACCACCCCTAGGTCAAAACCTCCTGTTAATAGCCACACCGTGGGCCAAACGTCCATAACCTTGAAGAAGCAAGAACAGGCTAAACTCTGATCTTAGGTCAAGGAGGAACAAATCCACATCCATGGGCTCCCACAATAACCAACTCTCCTTCATATTGGCTAGTCCTGAAATTCTTTTCTGCTTTCAAACTAAGATCCTGGTTTGGCCTGAGCTGAGGACAAGACTAGAGGAGGACGTTGAGTCTTGCCTCTGTCTCCCTAACAGATGACAGGGCCGTTGGTCCATTTTATTCTCAAGAATGATCCAATTCTCAGACACCTTGGAGTGTGTTCTGATATGTTGCTAGTGTTCCCCATAAAAGCTCTCTTCTTGGTACTGGAAAGATGGCAAGGCAGTGAGGAACGGCTGCTCTTTCAGAGGATCTGAGTTCAGTTCCCAGCACCTAAAAGGTGGTAGCTTACAACAACCTGTAACTCCAATTCCAGAGGATCTGTCACCCTCTTCTGGTCTGTGTGGGAACTGCATTCAGATGGTGCAGACACACACACAGGTAAGAAACCCACACATAACCACAAAAACAAGTAAGAGCTCTCTCCCTAAGGCAGTCAGAGAATCATCACACACTTCCATCTTTCCTCTGTGGGGGGCTGTTGAGAGCTGTCCTCCCTAGCGACCCCGGGCTCACCAGATGACCATACTCAGTAAACAGGTCTGAGTGACTGGTTGGTCTGAATCTGAACAGTGTCTCAGGACCTCCGTGATTCTTGAAACAGGTTAGTCCTGAGACCCCCACCCCAACTGGTAAGCTAGCTCTGGGGAAATATCCTCTACCCTCCCCAGGTTGCTTCTGTTATGCCCAAATCCGCCAACAAAGGAGACCGAGTCACATATGTAAAAGCAAAGAGCCTTTATTTTAATCAAGTTTGCAAAGTCGGTCTCTGTGCATGTCCAACGTATTGGAATAACTGGAGAGCCCCGAGCTCAATTAGAATTGGGTTTTTATAGTAGTAAAGGTGGGAGTGAGGGGTCTCTGAGGTCTGATTGGCTGACATTTGTCTAGGGGGTGTCCCCGCGAGGTATGCTGGCAGGTGATCCTATCTACAGCAGTTGGAATGTCAGGCATTTCCTTTGAATGGTCTGATCTTGGGTGGGGGTCCGGTAATCTCAGCTTGTGTTTTTCTGCTACCAGGTATTGCTTCAGGGTAAACTACTGAGACTCAGGCCTCTTACTTAAATTTATCGACGGCCAGAGTCCCAGGTGATAAAGGTTGGAACTAAAGAACTTCCTTTGGGTGACCTGCCCAGACTTAGATTATCATGGGTGCCCCCCCCCACTTCCTTTTCTGAAAAGGGACTGAGGGATTTCAGGCTGGCTGCAGGGTCACTAAATTCCTGCTGCCCACCGTGCCATCACGGCAGCACCATGACAAGGTGCTGAAGATTGAACCCAGGGCCCCATGCTAGACAAGCGCCCTACTAACTGAGCCACAGAGCCCACTCTCTTCTCTACAGAAAGGAAAATCGCCCATGAGAAACGAGTTCTGTTTCTCATTTAATAGTTCTACTAACTCTGTGGCAGTGGCGTTCTGGTGAGGTTCAGAGAAGCGGCTTCCCGTGGGGAGAGTGAAGGAGCCTCACTCTCCCCATTCACCCTTTGACCTCCGCAAGGTTTCAGTCTTCCTTTGCTCACGGGAGGTTTCTGGCTGTGCTGGACCAATGGCAGGCATTTCCGGAGAGTGCTCTAAGATAGGGGAGGAGGAGAGAGGCCAGGGTACTCCCTCTCTTATCCGCTTGGTCAGGGTGGCTCCGACAGCAGCTGCCGCCTGATGGAATAGAAGGCCTGTTTCCCGGCTGTTCTTCAGATCTCTGGCTCCCTTCGCTCCCTCCCGCTGCTAAGTTAGGAGGTGGTGCGAGTTTCCCACCGGATAATCCTTGTCTTTACTCCCTAAATTCTCTGCAAAATGTTTCTTCACTGAAGAGACTTTCAGTTAACATCTTTGTGTTAAGGGAACGACCTTGACCATGCAGCCGCGTGGAATTCTACCGCCTCTAACTGGAGAAGTTAGGGCCTTTCCTGCTAAAAGCAGTCACCTACCTAGAAGAAACCCAAGACGTGAGTCACGGCTTAGTAACCCTATTCCTAGCCAGGCTTCTCCGAGGACCCCTAGTGAGCCCTGTCCCTGGCCACAAGTCCCCAGCCCGAGCTGCCTTTCTCCTCCTCCCCCCCCCCTTCACCACCTGCGGAGTTGCTGGCACCAGCGGGATCCAGATCACCTTGCTGGCCCGCTGGTTTTTTTTTTTTTTTCTTATGTGATTAATTGCAGGAAGTTCATGCACATGACTTATTCTTTTCTCTTTTAGGAGGGGTAGGTCCATTGTGTCCTGCGGCGAGAAGCTTGCAAGGAGGAAAGCACCTCCTCAGCCCACACCTCTGCTGTTCCAATCTGAGAGCTGCCCCTCACCTCCCACAAAAGGCGTGGAACATTTATGTGGGGCTACACCACCAAGACACTAGCAGTTGGCCATAAAAAGCCCCGAGTGCGTTATACACCCGAGGCTTTCCCGAAGGTTGCAGAGGAATTACTTAGTATAGTATGTTTAGATATAAATCACGAGACATATGATTTCTTCGGAAACGTAACTATAGAGTAGATTTGGGAGTATTCTTGGTAGGAAGTCCTTTCGAACTAAAAGGCACCTTAAGAGGAAACTGCTATGGAAACTACCCAGCAAAGTGCATTTCTCCGAGCCCCTGGAGTCTATGGCATAAGGCTGTGGAGTGGGGGCTTGGGTGCCGCAGTATTGGGCGCGTAGAAAACCTCGAAGACCGTCGTGCAAGGCAGAGGCGCTGCAGAAGGCAGGCGGCAGGGTCGGGGTGGTCCTCGGCAAGGTGGTCTCCGGGCAACGCGTCAGAGACCGCGTGCAGCATCGGAGGGGGCGGGGGCGCGTCTGGACACCCGCGCTCCGTAGGGGAGGGGGGGGGGAGAACGTGTGTGGCCCTGGCCGGCGCCCCGCCAAGCAAGCAAGCGGTGGCTGCGGCCGGCGAGCGCGCGCCCGGCGGTGCGTGTGTGTGTGTGTGACAAGCGTCAGGTGACTCGGGTCACGCAGTCGCTCCCTCGCGCTCCCGGGGAGAACTGCCGCGCTCCGGCTGGCTCCTCCGGCAGCGGCGGCGGCGGGAGGGGGGGGCTGGGCGCCGCTGCAGCCCCCAGAGAACCAGGCTCGCCCGGGGAGGCGCGGGCGGTTCGGCCCACGCGGGACCCTGGAGCCGAGCGTGGGCGTGATGAGCCAGGTGCTGGGCAAGCCTCAGCTGCAGGGTGAGGACGGCGGCGACGACGAGGAGGAGGATGAGCTGGTGGGACTGGCGGGCTACGAGGACGGGCCCGGGTCCTCGGACGCCGAGCTGGACAGCGGGCCGGAGGAGGGAGGTGAGCCGGCCTGCTTTGCACGCTCGCCGTCCCGGGGGCGCTGTGCGGAGCAATGCGGGGAGCGCGGGTCCTGGGCGCCGTGGTGGGGAGGGGGAGGGGCGAGGCCGGGCTGCAGACGGCGGCGGGAGGGCGGCGGGGAGCGGGGTCGGATGTCGAGCTAAAAGAGGCAGCTGGCGGCAGCGTGCCTGCTGGGTCGCCCACAGCTGCGCGTGTCATTCTTCCCCGCTATTGTCGCGAGAGGGTCCACGGCGTGGGACCAGAGCTCTGGGGCGGGGCCCGCGCTGCAGGTGGTACCCGAGTCTCCGAGGGATCCCGGTCTTAAGATACTTTGGATGTACCTCGTGGCATCCCCCGGAGTGGGCGCGGGGCGTGCGATCTTTGGCCACTGAAGCCAACTGTTTCTTCCCGAAGGAGCTCGAGTTAGCCTTTCAGATGGGGGCCGCCTGCGTCTCGTTCCTGGGACAGGGACACAAAGAAGTTGAGTTTGGGATTCCTGATTGTTTTTCTTTTTTTAACCCCCTCACCGCCTCTCCCCTAGCACACATTGATTTGTCCATGCTCTAGCCCTGCCCCCCCCCCCCCCCCCCCCCCCCCCCCCCCCCCCCCCCCCTAGCACGCATTGATATGTCCATGCTTTTTCCCCCCCCCCCCCCCCCCCCCCCCCCCCCCCCAGCGGAAGGTTACTTGAAAAGGTCAGTTGAATGGGGCTGTTAACATTCTCCGTGTAGGTTGTAAACATCTCAGGGAAAGGACTAATCTCTTCAATGCCCCACATTGAAGAAACTGAGGAATAAAAGTCCTCGTGACTGGAGTTTTAAGAACTTTTATGGAGAATCTACTGAACTGAACTTGAAGCTCTCTACAAAGCCTTTCTCGAAAGCCAGCTTGGATTGTGCATCTGGCAGGGACTACTTCAGCGAATCAGAAAGGCGTAAAGTTAACTAAGCCTTGAGCCCGGCGGAGGAGGGACAGCTTCCCGAGTTACCCCTTCCCTTCCCTGGCTGCTTTTCTCCAGAGAGGGCTGGTACTGGTTCTCCATTGTTTAAATTGGTGTGTGCACCTGTACGCAGGCTTCCCTTTCTGCGGGCCCTTTAATTGGTCCCACAGTGGATCACTTAGCCACGTTTTTTAAAAAATTAATTTGTTCAGTCGCGTTGTTATTAATTAGCATTTGTTAGAATCTAGCAGTTAGATCCTCCCATAAAAAGACTGAACGGGAATGCATTTGCGAGGTATTTGAAAAGGTAGATGCACAATAGGGAGCTTGTGTGGGCGTTTAAAGAGGAGACCCTATTCCAGAGGAAAAGCCGGTAATTTGATACAGTCCCGGGGGCCCGCGTTTGCCTGGAGGGACTAGAACCCGTCCTTTACCGCCCCCCCCTTCTCTGCCGGTTTTTATTGGGATGCTTGGGGGCACTTTTGAAGTTTGATTTGGCAAAATTTGAAGTGAAAGTAAAGCCCTGCCCAAGGGGAAGAATTCCTGAAACAAAAGACATTTCCAGAGCCCGGAATGGGAGGCCCCCAGTGTTAATCTAAAGGCAACCCTGCCTGCAGCTTTGTTTTGATGACTTCAGTAATAAGCCCCCACTGGGAGTTCCCGGATCAGGCGGAATCCTGGAATCTTGCTATAAAAGGCAACAGCACATTCACGTGGTGAGAAGCAGGCACGTTCATTTCTGCTCTGGCAAACACTGCAGAAGCCTGGCTTTGCTCCGCTGTCTGCTGTACATAGGTGGTCTGCTGCTTTCTCCGATCCTTTATCGCTTAAACACTTTCCCTAATCTTTGGCCTCTGTTCTTTCCTAGTTAAAGTCTGGAGGTTTAGGCCCCGAAGCACAAGCACAATCTCTGTTAGAACATTTGCCTTCCCCGGCCAGCACTTCCTGCAAAGGAGCTGGAACTGGGAGAGGGGCAGCCAAGAATTTAGACGTCCTGCTCCTTGTCCTTCTGACCGCTGGCAGGTTTTGTTTTTAAGATTTTGCCTGGTGTGTGTGTGTGTGTGTGTGTGCGCGTGCGCGCACACACACGTGTGCTGCATGATGTAGGTGCCCAGAGGAGAGTATCAGATCTGGAGCTGGAGTTACAGGAGGTTGTGAGCCACCCAGCATAGGTACTTAGGAAGAGCCACAAGTGTCTGTTGAACCATCCCATTTCTGTAGCACACACTCCCATTTAGATGTTGGTGATGTCTGCATTTACCTATTCTCAAACTTAGGAGAAAGTGAAAATCCACTAATTTAGTGCCTGCATCTAATGGTGGTCTGGAAGTTTCCCCCATCACGGTCAGTCACCTCTGGGAGCCTGGGAGTGGGATGTTGGATGGACTAGCGTTGCTAGTTGAGGCCATTTGTCAGGAGATGTGTAAGAGAATGTAGGCTGAAGATGGAAAGCTCCCACTGCCCCTAGTCTATGTGACCTGTGGAGCCCCGATCTCATCTTTAACCTGAGTCCCTTGTGAGTTTGACCATGTGTGGTAAACTCGAAAATGTGGCGCAGCTCAGCAAGGATTCAAATGTGCATCTCTGGGCTGGAGAGATAGCTCAGTGGTTAAGAGCATTGCCTGCTCTTTTAAAGGCCCTGAGTTCAATTCCCAGCAACCACATGATGGCTCACAACCATCTGTAATGAGGTCTGGTGCCCTCTTCTGGCCTGCAGACATATACACAGACAGAATATTGTATACATAACAAATAAATAAATTTTTTTTTTAAAAAATGTGCATCTCCTTTGGCTCCCACTCCATAGTCTACTCATGAGCAGCAGGAGCGTTTTCATGCAGCTTAGTTCCGTTGAGGATGGACTGAGGCACTGCTTCACCCTTCTTTCCTTGATGCTAATCACAGTAAGGCAAGTCTCATCTTCATACGCTGCCCTGGGACAATGATTAAACCATTAAAAACAATTAAACAGGGACCAGAGCTGAAACAGAGTGGGCAGTATGCTTGCTGTGCAGGCATGAGGACCAGAATTCAGATTCCCGGCATCCACTTAAGTGGATGGAGGGGTATGTGGAGGGGGGTAGGTGTCTGTCATCTCAGCCCTGGGGAGGGAAGACAAGAGAGCCCTGCGGCTTACAACCAGCCTAGGTAAGTTGGCAAGTTCCAGCTTCAGACCCTTCCCCAAAATAAGGCGGATAGAATGGGGAAGGCACACAAAGTCCACCTGGCATCCACATACTTGTATAAAGTACCAACACATACACACACATTACCGTATCCCCCTAAAACCAATTACCATAGAGCTAGGGGTATCCTGGATCCTGGTTTCCATCCTCAGCACCCCATATAAATTCATAATTGTACCATAAATAATGATGAATTTTTGACACCTGACTTTACATTTGCTAAAGTAAATTACTGTGCTTTAAAAACTGGCGAGGAGGCCGGGCAATGGTCACCTTTAATCTCAGCACTCGGGAGGCAGAGGCAGGCGGATCTCTGTGAGCTCGAGACCAGCCTGGTCTACAGAGCTAGTTCCAGGACAGGAACAAAAAAAGAGCTACAGAGAAACCCTGTCTCGAAAATCCAAAAAAAAAAAAGAAAAAAAGAAAAGTGGCAAGGAGCGAGACCAAAAGATACCCCCATTGTTATCTGCCCTCCCGTCATTGAATCAGAAAGCAAAAGGTTTCCCCTAAAGTCCCCAATTTGTAGGGGAAACTTGGTGAAGATAGCTTCTCACCCCCTCACCCCAGTCTGCTTGGATCTGGACTGTTTTCACAGTGGCCTGTGCCCCTTGGAGTCTGAGGAAGCAATGGTTTCGCTTGTTACTGGGGTTGCTATAGGGTAAGCTAGTGATACTCCCTGAAGGGTATACAGGTGCTGAATACAGCAAGTCCCTCCTACTAGGCGTTAATAACCGGGTGTGGCGATGTGTGTCCACAATCTCAGCACTCCAAAGAGTGGGAAGCAGGGTCACCAGTTCAAGGCCTGATACACCTGCCCTTTTATTAGCCGCCTCTCCCGTTTTATTATTAGAACAGACATAGGGTGGTGTAATGGGAACATAAGCCAGTTCTAGATAAGCGACGGGCTCTGCGTTGGAAAGAGGATCGTGGAAAAACTCCTGTCCTAGGCAGCACTTTATTTAGATTAGCCCTCCCCAACCCCGCAACCCTCCCCAACCTCGCAACCCTCCCCAACCCCGCAACCCTCCTCAACCCCGCAGCCCTCCCCAACCCCGCAGCCCTCCCCAACCTCGCAGCCGTACAGGCAGCCCTCCCCAACCCCGCAGCCCTCCCCAACCTCGCAGCCGTACAGGCAGCCCTCCTCAACCCCGCAGCCCTCCCCAACCCCGCAGCCCCGCTGCACAGGACAGCTTTGCTTCCTAAACCACCTCTTTCTTGTTCCTGCCTCCTTTCAGTATTCTTTCAGTATCTTTTGTCCTTCTCATAAAAAGTGTGCACCAGAGCTCACATATCAGCCAGTCCTGGACACCCTCAGGCACCAGTCTTGCCTTCTTCCTTGAGGCAGCACTTGTTCCTGCTGGACCCTGGAGCCTCCAGGGATGCCAGTGTCTCAGACGTCCGTCTCATATAGTCCACTGGGATACAAATGCATAGGGTTGCCTCGGGCAGAAAGTAGATTGTGGGGATCCAAACTCATAATTAACAAAACAAAAATTCTGTTTCTTCTGTCAAACCCTGTAAAGTTCTTGGGTGACAATGGCTCTCCCTAGCTTCACTGTGACTCAGGCTTCTCACTCCTTGATTAATGTGTGTGAGAAGCCGTTGATTCTCTTCTTACGGATCTGAGCGGGATTGTCACTTGTTTCTCAGTGTGTAAAAGAGGTTTGCATAAAAACAGCCTTGACTTGGGAGGCAGAGGCAGGAGGATCTCTGTGAGTTCGAGTCCAGCCTGGTCTACAAAGGGAGTTCCAGGACAGGCTCCAAAGCTACAGAGAAACCCTGTCTTGAAAAACCAAAAGAAAAAAAAAAACAGCCTTGAGTTTCTCTCAAGCAATTAAAAAAAGTTCCTAAGAACACGTCCTCCTTTAGGAAGTATTGGTAAATCACTACACATTAGAAACATAACTGAATATGTATTGAATAATATATATATAGTACATATTACAAATAATATATGTGAATATATTCAATTATGCTTTGCAGTTCCCTACTAGTATGATTCGAGAGAATTTTTTTAATATTTATTTATTTATTATGTATATAATATCCTGTCTGTGTGTATGCGTGCAGGCCAGAAGAGGGCACCAGACCTCATTACAGATGGTTGTGAGCCACCATGTGGTTGCCGGGAATTGAACTCAGGACCTTTGGAAGAGCAGGCAATGCTCTTAACCACTGAGCCATCTCTCCAGCCCCGATTCGAGAGAATTTTATAGGAGATTTTTGTTTCTACATGTAGCTTTTTTATCTCATGTTTTTGGGACAGGGTCTCATTATGTAGCCCTGATTGACCTGGAACTGGCTATGTGGGACAGCCTGGCCTCAAACTGAAGAGATCACCCTCAAAAGATTCACTGTTGTGAGCCAGAGTTTATGCAGAGAATTTCCCTGTTTCTCTAGGGAGAACCCCTAGACTAGCAGTGTGGCAGAATATTTAATTGTGCAAAAATGTGCTGCATTTGCTTTACTATGTAAAGATGTGTTGCTGGTTTTAACTTGCCTGCCTAAGGTATCTGATTGGTCTAATAAGAAACTGAATGGCCAATAGTGAGAGGGGAGGTGTAGGCGGAGCTTCCAGGAGAGAGTAAGGAGGAGGAGGAATTTAGGCTCAGGGAAGAAAGGAGGGAGGGAGAGAGAGAGAGAGACATAGTATGTCCTCACTCATAAGTGGCTATTAGATATAAAGCAAAGGATAACCAGGCTACAATCCATAGCCCCAAAGAAGCTAGGAAACAAGAAAGACCCTGGGAGGGACATATGGGTCTCCTTGGGAAAAGGAAGTAGAAGGGATGTCCTGGGTAAACTGGGGGTGAGGGGGAGTAGAGGGAAGGGATGGGAACTTGAGAGATCAGGTGGGCGGGATAAGCAGGAGAGTGATGAGGAAGATGTCTTGATAGAGGGGACCATTGTGGGCATAGGGAGAAAGCTAGTGCCAGGGACACTCCCGGGAACCACAAGGGTGACCGCAGCTAAGGCTCCTAGTAATATCGGAGAGGATGCATGAACTGGCCTTCCCCTGTAATCAGATGGGTGATTGCCCTAGTTGTCATCATAGAGCCTTCATCCAGTACCTGATGGACGCAGATGCAGAGATTCGCAGCCAAGCACTGGGCTGAACTCTGCGAGTTCAGTTGAAGAGAGGGTGGAGGGATTATATGAGCAAGGGGGGGGGGTCAAGATCATGATGGGGAAACCCACAGAGACAGCTGACCTGAGCTTGTGGGAGCTCTTGGACTCTGGACGGACAGCAAGGGAACTGGCATGGGACAGACCTAAGCCCTCTGCACCTTGGCAACAATTGTGTAACTTGGTCTTTTGTGGGCCCTCTAGCAGTGGGACCAGGACCTGTTCCTGATGCATCAGCTGGCTCTTTGGAGCCTACTCCCTATGGTGGGGATGCCTTGTTCAGCCCTGATGCAGTGGGGAGGAGCGTGGTTCTGCCTCTGCTAGATGTGCCATGCTTTGTTGATTCCCGTGGGGGGCCTTACCCAATCTGAATGGAGACGGAGGAAAAATGTTGGAGAAAGCTGCTTATTTTGTTCCCAGCCTCCCGGCTAGCTTAAACCCAAAATAATCACACAGAAACTGCATCAGTTAAATCACTGCTTGGCCCATTAGCTCTAGCTTTTTTTTTTGTTTTTGTTTTTTTTTTTTTTTGTTTTTCGAGACAGGGTTTCTCTGTGGCTTTGGAGCCTGTCCTGGAACTAGCTCTGTAGACCAGGCTGGTCTCGAACTCACAGAGATCCGCCTGCCTCTGCCTCCCGAGTGCTGGGATTAAAGGCGTGCGCCACCATCACCCCGCTAGCTCTAGCTTCTTATTTGCTAACTCTTACATCTTAATTTAACCCATTTCTAGCCATCTGTGTATCGCTACATGGCAAAGTTTTAGCATGTCTGACTCTGGCAGGGGCTCCATGGCTTCTCCCTGACTCCGCCTTCCTCCTCCCATGCTATAGGCCAAGCCAGTTCTTTATTCATTAACCAATAAAAGCAACACATAGACAGAAGGACCTCCCATACCAGAAAAGTGGGTGGGAGGTGGGGGGAGTGGTGGGGTAAGGAGCGGAAGGAGAGAAGGGAGGGAAAAGTGTGGCTGGTATGTAAAATAATTTTTTTAAATGACGGGGAAGAAAAGAATCTTTGGTATTAGAAGGCCATATGGCTGACATGAAGTCACCTTGTAAGGTAAGGAATGGTATGGTTTTTTTTCTTTTCTTTTTTATTGTTTATTTACTGTATTTTATGTGCACGGGTGTGAAGGTGTCAGATCCCCTGGAACTGAATCTTCAGACAGTTGTGAGCTGCCATGTGGGTGCTGGGAACTGAACCCCGGTCCTCTGGAAGAGCAGTCAGTGCTCCTAACCGCTGAGCCATCTCTCCAGCCCCGGAATGGTATGGTTTTAATGTCGTGGAGGAGCTGCCAAGTGGACTGCCACATCCAGCCTTGTGATCTGGGCAGCCTCCTTACCCAGATGCCTTGGGTACTTGTCAGTAGCTGGGAAAGGTTTCAGAAGTGGCACGGTAGTCCCTGGCACGTTGCGTGCAGTTAGATATCTCACCGAAGCGGTGGACTGCATCACAAGCCTCCAGGGTCCCCTGGTCCCCGCTGATGGCATCTTGCTGACATGGCTGCCATCTTTCCACTCTAGTTAGTATGTGCTGGACCCTGGCCGGCAGGGAGACACATCCAGCCCCATGTGCAGTGAGAGCTGCACGTCTGTCTCACTCACCTTACTTTACCTGACACCTCTAAACTCACACACCCACATCCCCCTTCAAAAAGTTTCCTTTGCCACCCTCCACAACACCCCCTGAGAGGAGACACTCCAGCCTGCATTTCCAGACATAACTAAAGACTGCACCTGCATCTAACAATGTTACCTGGTCAGAAAGACTTAACTTGTGGACATTGTTTGTAATGCTTATGTTTTGTTTATTTGTTGGAAGAAGTTGTATTCAGAAAGATCAGTAGGTGGGGCCAGTGAGATGGCTCAGCAGATGAAGGTGTTTGCTGCCAGGTCTGATGATCTGCCTTAGATCCCCAGCACTTCCACTCCCCAGGCTGGCCCCAGGGCATTGCTCCTATTGAACACAGTTTCATCCAATTTCTTTTCCTTGGGATTGCAGTTTTAAAATAACTTGCATTAGAATGCGATTTGCAAAAATAAATACACATTTGATATGATTCTTCTGAAAGCTTCCCCAGTCAGGTAGAGCATTTATGCACCATGTCCACTGCAGAGTTACCTTACCCCCTTGGAGTCCCTTCTACCCCTACGCCTGTCCCCAGGCAGCCACTGAGGCAGTGTGTGCCATTGTATGTTAGTTTTATTGTTTCAGAATTTTCTGAAAAAGATAGAACTGGATCCTTCTCTGCAGTTCGCCTGTGAGTGCCAACAACTTCCTCCCTCCCTTTCTTCCCGTGTTGGACATTGGTGCATACTAGGCAATCACCCAGCCCCTGCCTACTTCCTTGTATGGCTAGGATGTGCTGCAAGTTGCTTATCCATTTACCTGTTGATAGACATTTGAGTTGTTCTCAGTTTTGGAGTATTATGAATAAAGTAGGGATAGTAGTAGAAATGAGCTTATTTTTTTCTCCTCCTCCTTCTCCTCCTATTCCTCCTCCTTCCTTTCTCCTACCCTCCCACTCCCTTTCCTCCTTCTCCTCCTTGTTGGTGTGGAGTCCACCTTTTATCCTGTTCCTCCTCCCTCTCCCCCTTCTCTTCCCCCTTCTTCTTCTTTTTCTTCCCCTCCTTGTTGGTGTGGAGTCCACCTTTTATCCTGTTTCTCCACCCTCTCCCCCTTCCCTTCCTCCTTCCTCCTCCCTCTCCCCCTTCCCTTTCCCCTTCTTCTTCTCCCCCCCCCCTCCTTGTGGGTGTGGAGTCCTCCTTTCATCCTGTCTGCCTTGTCCTCAGAATATTTTTGTTTCCAGAACCCCCATGGCCCTTTCTTGGATCGCTCGTGCTCCAAGGTGATATTTTTTTTCTCTAGATTCATTGTCGTAACACGAGAGTTTGTTCTGATTCTTTAGTGAACCCGCGTCTTCCGTTTATCGAGCCTACGTCCTCTTCTGTGATTCACATTTTAATCAGAATCTCACACGCTCATCCTTGGAGTGTCTGGAAGGAAGACGGCAGCTCCTGCCTCAGACACTTTTAGGTCCCATACACTACAGTAAGAACCACTGCACCACCGTTTTCCAGGCCTGCAGGCTCCTCTCCCAGCTGTCTTTGTATTGCTTAGGGATATGTGAGGGTGTTAGGACAGTTTTCAGGGCCTTAGGTTCCCAGATGTCTGTTCCTCTCATGAGTGGGTGGTAGACGGGACACCGTTTGGAAGAGTAGCATCTGAGTCACAGACCATCTGGCATGGAGCTGAAACCCCGCGTTAGAACGACTCACCCTGTCCTGTTTGTCCTGTGGTTTCTTCAGTTCTGGACTTGAGCGACCCCTTCAGCACTGAGGTGAAGCCCAGGATCCTGCTCATGGGTCTCCGAAGGAGCGGCAAGTCGTCCATACAGAAAGTTGTCTTTCACAAGATGTCCCCGAGTGAGACCCTGTTCCTGGAAAGCACCAATAAGATCTGCAGGGAAGATGTCTCCAACAGCTCCTTTGTCAACTTCCAGATCTGGGACTTCCCAGGACAGATTGACTTTTTTGACCCGACCTTTGACTACGAGATGATCTTCCGGGGCACAGGAGCGCTGATCTTTGTCATCGACTCCCAGGTACAGACTCCATGGGCGACACCTACCTCTCCACATTCACCCATATCCGTTTGCAGTGGTTTTCGTAAAATCATGCGTGTGTGTCTGTGTGTGTGTGTGAGTGTGTGTGATGCACATACAGATGTGTGTGCAAACTTGTGTTCACCACAGCCCACATGTATGTGGAGTCAGAGACTCCAGAGGCTCCTTTCAAGTCCCTTGTGGGCTCAGAGGATCAAACTCTTGTCAGACCTGAGCCAAGCACCTTTACTTGCTGAATCATCCTGCTGACTCAGTGGTTTAGGTTTTTAAATCCGCAATAGGCCCTCCTATCAAACAAGGATTTCCCAGAGCCCTCAGATTCTGCAGAAAAGGCTCCTTGTCAGTCATAGCCCACACTCACCTAACCCATAAATAAGATCATATACCTGCTGCGGAAGTTTGAATGTAATTGGCCCCCATAAGCTCATAGGGAATGGTGCTGTTGGGAAGAGTGACTTCGTTGAAGTAGGTGTGGCCTTGTTGGAGGAAGTGTGTCACTGTAGAGTCGGGCTGTGAGGTGTCATATATGCTCAAGCCACACTTAGTATCTCAGACCACTTCCTGTTGCCTGCATATCAGGATGTAGAACTCAGCTCCTTCTCCAGCACCATGTCTGTCTGCATGCTGCCACGTCCATGATGATAATGGACTGAACTTCTGAACTGTAAGGTGCCACCTCAATAAAATGTTTTCCTTAATAAGAGTTGCCATGGTCATGGTGTCTCTTCACAGCAGTAGAACCCTAACTAAGAACCTGGGAAACTTTATAGATGTGGGGCAGGTGCCAGAAGATGTGTGGAATGATTACAGGTTCTCTGCAATTAAAGTTTATTTAGAAGGTTACATGCTACAATATTTGTTATTAAAGTAGATAAAATTCTAAGTGAAAATTTTCTTCTGAATCAAAATATTATTTTTAACTTATTATTTTATCTGTATGGGTGTTTTACCTACATGTATGTCTGTGAACCTTTATACCTGGTGCCTGTAGAGGCCTGATGGAGGTGTCGGATCCCCTGGAACTGGAGTTACAGACAGCTGTGAGCTGCCATGTGGGTGCTGGGAATCGAACCTGGGTCCTCCGGAAGAGCAGCCAGTGCTCTTAACCACTGCACCATCTCTCTAGCCCTTGAATTAAGTTATTATTATTAGTACACACTTGATTATGATAACTCTTTTGTGCGTTTTGTAGATGACTGTTGAAATGTGAGGTAGGTATCTTGTTTTCCACGGTTCACATCTGTGGGTTTTTTTTTAAGATTTATTTTATTTATTATGTATACAATATTCCTTCCACGTATGCTTGCATGCCAGAAGAGGGCACCAGATCTCATCATAGATGGCTGTGAGCCACCATGTGGTTGCTGGGAATTGAACTCAGGACCTCTGGAAGGGCAGTCAGTGCTCTTAACCTCTGAGCCATCTCTCCAGCTCTCACATCTGTGTTTGAATAACCAGTTCTACTTTTGTTCTTTGCTCCTATAGCTGTGTTCACATAGATAACTTGGGGATATAGGGATATAAGGTGAGTTTCGTCATAGCATTTATGCAAGAATTTAAAATCCTTCCAAATTGTGTCTCCTGCATTATCTAGTTTTCTGTCATAAAAATTATTTTTAGTAGTTTATTAACAGTTCTACAGTTCTGTGTAGACCTCCTTCAACTTGGTTGTTAGTCAAGGGTAGGGAGACATTGACTGGTGAGGAGCCCTGTTCCCCAGCCTCAGTGGGAGGAGAGGAGGAAGGGAGATCAGGCTGGCCAGCGCTGGGGCGGGTGGGTGAGGTTGGGGCCTTAGAGTGTCTGAGACCATGGTGCAGGCTGGAGGATTTCCCAGGCCTAAAGGGAGCAGCTTCTCTAGGGAATGCCAAACCCAGTTCAGAGTGGCGTTCAGAGAGTTCCCTGAAACTCTGCCGTCTGTCAGCCTTCCAAAATGTGTGTAACACAGAAGGAGCGTCTTCAGCAAACCCTTGCTCTAGGAGGCTGCGCTGTGTGAGCAGCTCCGAGAACTGGGCTCAGAGTGCAGGGGTTCACTCTTCCTCCGGTGAGAGGTCTGTAGAGGAGAGACTGAAATACAGCGCCAGACCCGTGGTGGGTTCCCCAGGCCCACCCGGAGCTTGTGCCTGGGCTGTCGGGAGCTGCTCTCCTGGCACTCCAGTGTGTACAGACCTGTTTTCTGGCCAGTCTCCCCGTCTGTCTTCCAGCACTGTAAATCCGGGAGCTCAGGGCCCAGGGGAGTGACTAGGTGTGCCTAGTACAGGTCAGGGAACCCTCTTCCCCTGAGTCAGCCGGTGCTGTTTAAGGAGCTGCCTATGAGTAAGTGGATTCCACCCAGGGCTAAAGATCATTTTCGATGCTGACTTGATAAATACTCAGATACCGTACTGCGCTGTGTAGCAGCTCCAGTGCAGATCTAAGGCATTTATGATACGGTTGTAATTTAGCCCCCAAATAAGTATATTTACTTTATTTTTACTTTTCATTGTTTATTTTTAATCATGTGTACATGTGTCTCAGTGTGTGGGTCTGCATGTGTGTGTGTGTCCCAGAATGTGCGTCTGCATGTATTCATGTGTCTCAGTGTGTGGGTCTGTGTGTATACATGTGTCCCAGTGTATGGGTCGGCATGTGTACATGTCCCAGTGTGTGGGTCTGCATGTGTACATGTCCCAGTGTGTGGGTCTGCATGTGTACATGTCCCAGTGTGTGGGTCTGCATGTGTACCTCTCTTAGTGTGTGGGGGTCTGCGTGTGTACATGTCTTAGTGTGTGGGGGTCTGTGCACATGAGTACAGGTTCTTGCAAAGACCAGAGGTGCATGCTGTCCTGGAAGCAGCGTTTTAGGTGGTTATGAGCTGCCCTGCTTAGGTGCTGGAACCCGACTCTGGTCCTCTGCTGGAACAGCAGGTGCTCATGACCACCGTGCTGTCTCTCCAGCCCAAAGTTGCTTATTCTTAGCTAGGCATTGTCATTTAGGTTGGTAATAGTGTTTCTGATTTTGTGGGTTTTTTTTAAAATTTACTGCAGGTCACAGGAAAGTCTAATAATGTTTGAGAAAGATCCCCCTGCCTTCCTTCTTCCCTCACTTTTCCCCTTTTTCTTTTCTTTTTTTTTTTAAAGTGGTTTATTTTTTATGTTCTTTTTTTCCCTCACTCCCTCTATGATTGAAGTGGTTCTGTCAGAGGTAAATTGTTTCTAGATCCCTTTTTATTTTTTATTTTTACGACTTATTATGTATATAGTGTTCTGTCTGAAGAGGGCGCCAGATCTCTTTACAGATGGTTATGAATCACCATGTGGTTGCTGGGAATTGAACTCAGGATCTCTGGAAGAGCAGGCAGTGCTCTTAACCACTGAGCCATCTCTCTACATCCTCACTTTCCTCTTTTTCATACCTCCTCTTTCTCTGAGACAGGGTCTTACGCTGGTGCTCAGGCTGGACTTGAATTCACAGCAGCCTTTCTACCTTAGCCTCTTAGGGAATGCTGGGATTACAGGCATGAGCATCTTGCTTTTCCCCCGCCCCCCGCTTCAGACAAGGTCTTTCTACATAATCTTGGCTGTCCTGGAACTTGATTTGTAGATCAGATCTCACAGAGATCTGCCTGCCTCTGCCTCCCAATTGCTGGGAGGCATCCTGTTCCCTTGGAGGACCTAGGTATTGGTCTAGGTTCTATTGCTGGAATTGTGGCTCCTATCTTATGGCTATCAACCAACAACCTACACTGTGCCTACCCAGATCAGCTGGATTTTTTTTTAGCTGTATTTTCTCATCTCTGTGTTAGCAAACTTAGGTTTGTATACTTAAAGTCCATAATAACGGAATTTTGTTGTTGTTGGGAGTTTGGCAAAATATTTTTGGAGATCATAACTATGTGTTTCCAGGCCATGAGTGTGTCTAGAAGGTTCTGGAAACAAAGCTGAAGGCATGACCTTTGTTCCAGGATGACTATATGGAAGCGTTGGCCAGGCTCCACCTCACAGTGACCAGAGCCTACAAAGTGAACACTGACATTAACTTCGAGGTGTTTATTCATAAAGTGGATGGTCTGTCAGATGATCACAAAATTGAAACCCAAAGAGACATTCACCAGAGGGCCAACGATGACCTTGCAGATGCTGGCTTAGAAAAAATTCACCTGAGGTAAGAGCCAACACCCTTAGGGTCTGGGTCCTAAGAAAAGCTGGAGCCAGTGGACTTGGGTTTCGGTCACCACAGCTGGCTGGGTGGGGACTGGCTAGGCATGGATGGCGTGGATTTACTTGTTTACCTGAAATCTAAAATGTTGTGTACTTGCTAAATGCTAACCTTTGGCAAAAATAGTGTTTTGTTTTATTCTTGTATTCAACAAGTTGTTTAAACTTCTCATCTCATATGAAAAACACAACAAAACCGATGGCTCTAACCCAGGATGCTAACTGATACTCAAAAATAGTTACTGCTAATAGGATGTTATTTATAACCTCAAACAGATGAGGGTGAAAATCATTAGGATAGAAATTCACAGGAAAATGTCTCTCATCTATTTTATGGGGTAGAATAGTACATAATCATTGACTTTGCAAATTGGGGGATGAAAAAATTGGCATGCTTTAGTATCTATAATGTAAAACTTACTAATGAGGCAACAGGCTTGTGTGGGGATGAGTCTCTGTATAGTGTCAGGATGCTCACACAGGATGTGGGGATGAGGGCAGAGTCTCTGTATAGTGTAAGGATGCGCACACAGGATGTGGGGATGAGGGCAGAGTCTCTGTATAGTGTAAGGATGATCACACAGGATGTGGGGTTGAAGGCAGAGTCTCTGTATAGTGTAAGGATGCTCACACGGGACGTGGAGATGAGGGCAGAGTCTCTGTATAGTGTAAGGATGCTCACACAGGACGGCCAAACTCCCAAGCTTGCCAGTCAGTGCAGACTGAGCCTGGCTCTAGCACTAGTGAGGAATAGAGGCTGGCTGCTAGGACATACTTGGTATTGACCAATTCATTATGAATTCTGAAGGGTGCTTGTATGTTAAAATTGTACATAATATCAATGGCATTAGTGACAGAGCCCAAAACAACTGCTCAGTCAGGGAGAACCTGATGAAATACTACCCTCTCTTTCAGCTTTTATCTGACGAGCATTTATGACCATTCAATATTTGAAGCCTTCAGTAAAGTGGTTCAGAAACTGATCCCACAGCTCCCGACGCTGGAGAATCTGCTGAACATCTTTATCTCAGTAAGTAGATGGTTTGCTCCTGCTCAGGTCGTTCGCAGAATCCGAGAGCGCGCGGCAAGAGTGAAAAGTTGTAATGCCTCCCTGCGTTTCATGCACTTCAGCATCAGTCTTGAAGGTTATTCCTACCGTTTGTTTTAGAGCCTTTAAACTCTGACAGTGTGTGTTTCCCTGGTGCACTTGGATTGTTTATTCAAGCGGGAGGCAATCATTAGTATTAATGGAGTCTTACCTTGGACACGGAGCAGAAAGCCTGGTTTGGGGGCCAGCAGGTTTACCAAGCCTTACCACCAGCATCCAGTCCAGACCACACGATACAAGGAGAGAACTAATTCCTTCCAAAAGTTGTCCTCTGACCTCCACGTTTGTGCTGTTGCAAGTCCTAACTATCCTTGAAACAAAAATACATGAATATAAGGAAATTCAACGTTGTCTGAGTGCTGAACCTGATGAGTCCTAAAGAGGCCAGGCCAAGAGTTAGGAAACACTGCCCAAATGGTTTACCAAAGATAAATAACTTGGACTAATTCAGCCTTTAATGTGTTCTTTCAAATCCATCATAAAATGTATGACAGTCAAGTTAAAATTGCAATAAAATGGTACAATAGGAGTTCCTAATAATTTTGGCTTATTTATATATTGCATTGGTGATACCATATAATTTTTTAAATCTTGAAAGAAATCACTTTATTCTAAAATCGTTGTCTGTTGACTGTACACAGTACAAGGAGTCACTGTGACAGTTTCACGGAGGCTTGTGTTGTTGTTTAATGCACCCGCCCTCCGTGCTGCTGTCCCTTCCCCTCCATGTCCCCTTCCCTAACTAGTGCAGTGGAGTATCATTTTTCATAGAACCCCGAAGTGGCCGGAACTTGCTGTTTCTTTAAGGCGTGTCTTTCCCCCACCCTGTCAGAATTCCGGAATTGAAAAGGCATTTCTGTTTGACGTGGTCAGTAAGATTTATATCGCAACTGACAGCACTCCCGTGGACATGCAGACCTACGAGCTCTGCTGCGATATGATCGACGTGGTGATCGACATCTCTTGTATTTATGGGTAAGCAAAGCATTATTTTCTATTGTAATTAGAACAAGTCCCTTGCCCCTCCTCCCCCCCAGACAGTGTATTCTTAAAGGCCATAACTGTGCTGTCCTTCCAGGGCTGGAGGTGTGGCTTAGTTACAAAGCAAGTCCTGAGATCAGTCCTCAGCGTCATAGAAACAGGGAGGAGACGTGGGGAGGGCGGGGCACGTGGGGGACGGGACGGAGGACTGCCTGCCCACCTGCCTGCCTTTTCATAGCTTCTGGGCATCTTTGCATTCGTACACTTGACTTTGGTACTTTCATTTTAAATGACGGGGATCTATAAATAGATCATTTAACATGCCAGTAATCGCAGGTAATTGTTGGTTACCTGCCTATTATGATTAAAACTTTGTTACACATATCATCTATAATGGTCTGTTGTTTGTTTTAATAAATGGAGCTTGCCTGAAGATTAGAGTGCAAGGTAGTCACACTTGTCAGCCATACAGGCCAGAGAGTGGTGGCACACACCTTTAATCCCAAGATTTGGGAAACGGAGGCTGGAGGATCTCTGTGAATTTCAAGGCCAACCTGGGCTACACAAGATTGAGTCTGTCTAAAAGAGAGACAGCTCACACAACGATGATCCCAGCACTTGGGATCTCACGCCTTTAAAATCCCAGCACTAGGGAGGTGGAGACAGGAGTGATATGGCTGGGTGGAGAGAGGAATATAAGGGACAGGAACTCAGTGGAGAGTGGAGTGTGGGCCGTGGAGTCTTCAGGATTTGTGGAGACAGGATCTCGCCCATTTTCAGTCTGAGGTAGAAGAGCCAGTGGCTAGGCTGCTTTGCTTTTCTGATCTCCAGGTTGAACCCCAATATCTGTCTCTGGGTTTTTATTATTCATGCTGCAATCATCTAATTTAGTTGTTCCATGAGTTAGGGATTACTGTAATGATCTGTCCTGTCCCTTTAAGAGACCAGCCACTCTTCAGCTTCCAGCCTGAGTCCTTTCCTTTCCTGTCTCCCTCTCAAAGAGGCAGCTTCTGTCTCTCCCCACTTCTCCCCTTCCCCTCTTCTATTTCTCTCTCTCTCCCTCTCCCCCTCCCTCCTTCCCTCCCTCTCTCCTTCCCTCCCTCTTTGCTCTTCCCCCTGTCTCCCCTTCTCTTCCATAGCCCACTAAATAAATATCCAACCTCCCTCTGCATGGCGTGCCTATCCATGTCTCTGTCTCTCGCCCACTGCGTGGCTCCCTGCCTGGGACCAGCAGCCTTCAGAGACTTGCTGCATGGTCTCATTGCTTGCCCATCTGTCTATCTCTCCTTGTGGGACTGGCTGCCCCATCGAGGTCTCTCACCCACCACGTGGCTCCCTGCCTGGGACTTGTGGCCAGCTGTAGCCACTTGGGGAACTGCGGCATCCATGCCTGGGACTGGCTACCCTCGGGACCCACTACCCACTGCTGCTGCTTGGTAACCTGCAGCGTTTCTGCCACTGCAGCCACTCGGGGATCCGTAGCATTTTACTTAATCCATTACAATTACTATACTTGGTTTACAGATGCAGAAACGGACTTTAGAATGGTGGCTTTTCTAGCAGCCGTTCTTTCTGTCAGCAAGAAAGACTAGACTTTGAACCTGGTCTAAATGATCATGGTCAGAAGCTGAGAAACCTGCACACACAAGTACGCCCCATGGGGTAAAAATAGACCCACAGGCATGGAGACCATTTCCATTACCCTGTTTGGTACAGAAAACACCTGCTCAGTACTTTTTAAAATTTGCTTTTAATTGTCTGGGTAGCAGAGACTTATAATACCAGGCAAATGACATCTGCTCATTTTTATTATGACCTTAACAATTCATAAAAACCAAAACTTTCTAAAATAACATTAGAGAGCGGAGAAAGTTGTATTTTTTGTTTTTCAAGACAAGGTTTCTTTATGAAACAGTCCTGGCTGTCCTGGAACTCACTCTGTGGACCAGGCTGGTCTCAAGCTCACAGAGATCCACCTGCCTCTGCCTCCTGAGTGCTGAGATTAAAGGCGTGCGCCAACGCTCCCCCTCCCCCCCTTTTTCAGTTGCAAAGTTGTATAACTGGAGATAGAAGCAGTCTCCATGCCCCGTAGTACGCTGAGCAAGTTTGCACAGCTGGAATGTGAGGGAGCCGTTCTCTGATGTCACGCGTGGCTGGCCGTTCTCTTAGACCTTGCATTTTCACCTGCTCTGCTCTCTGCCTCACACCCCCTGACATTCAGCCTGCTCCGCCAGCTTCTGGAAGTTTCAAGCTTAGCTGCTTCTGTCTTCCATTATCTGAAAATTCTTTGCCCACCCTGTGAGATTTTTCTGTTAACTCTGTTACATATACGTTCATGTACATGCAAACACGTGTGTGCACATAACACACGTACTCCTAAGACTGTGGTAAGAACGAAAACACTGTTAATAGGCTCATAATGTTCCTGCCTTGATGGGGCCTAGATAAGTTGTGCTTGTCGTGATTTATTATTGCCATCAGACGTGGCCATACGGCTTTACCGGTAGTCTGTTATTTCTAAGATGTAAGTGGAAGCTGAGTGAGGCTGGTTACAGTCTCAGTTGCCACGGTAATCCGGTGCAGTGCACAGCACAACTATCTGGCCCCATAATTAATGATATGCATGTTCATTATTGTGCCGTGTGGCAATAGACAGAAGTGGTTAGTTGTTTAGGTAGATGATGTTAATCAGAGGTACTTGCACCAGCTGAAGCAAACACGAGGAGAGTCAGTTGGGCTTCGTCAGAGATGACGTTTCTGGAGTGGAGTGCTGGGGTTCTGAGAACCCACGGATTCCCTGATAACGGGGTTGGAGCACAGTGGTTTGTGGGCTCCAGACTTTCCTCAGTGTGCTCGCTCGTTAGTTTTACTTCAGCTTGAGCCTCACTTAAGAAAATACCCCTGTGAGATGGGCTGGAGGCGTGCCTGAAGGGCTGAATTTTCTTAATTAGTAATTGATGTGGGAGGGGGGCTCAGCTCATTGTGGGTGTGGCCACCTTGGGCTGGTGGTCCTGGGTTTAAAGAAAGCAAGCTGAGCAAGCCAGTAAGCGGCTCCCCTCCATGGCCTCTGCATCAGCTCCTGCCTCCAGGTTCCTGCCCTGTTTGAGTTCCGGTCCTGACTTATTTCGCTAATGATCAATGAAATGGAAGTGCAAGCAGAATAAACCCCTTCCTCCCCAAGCTGTTTGGTCATGGTCACGGTCATGGTCACGGTCACAGCCACCCTGAGACACTCAGCCACCAGAGCAGCTGTGAGCCTGCTCAGTAACCAGCACCACGGGAGCAGGAATGTGGGTGGAGACTAGGCCCTAGCAGGCAGCCCAGGAAGCAGGGGGTCTGGGACAGGAATTCTTCCTACCCTTTCTCTGCTTCCTCCTGGAGACCAGGTGGTTTGTTTCTGAAGGACTCTCAGCTGAGGCTCTGTGCAGTTAGCAGCTCGACACACACAGAGACATACACACTCATATGGACGTACACACACACACACACACACACACGTATTCCACCTTCACGTGTTTTCCTTGCTCATAGATGGAAAAGTGAACAATTTCAGTTGAAAAACTTAACAACTTTATTCTTGTAATTTTTTTTGGCTCTTCTATTTTGTCTGCTGTGTTACTTTTTGTGGTTGCAAAGGCAATACCTCCTTATGACAAGCATAAAAAGTAAGCTAGCTTGGGATCAGGGATTTGAGCTCAGTGATAGGACCCTTGCCTGGCCTGCAGAAGCCTGCTTTAGATCCAAACTAAAAGCAAAAGCCAAGAAGTTCGTAACCTCACTGTCTGGAGACAGTCACTGTTTAATTTTATGAACATTAGCGTTTTGCCCACGTGTATGTTTGTGTGAGGGTGTCGGGTATCTGGAGTTACAGATAGTTGTGAGCTGCCATGGGGGTGCTGGGAATTGAACCCGGGTTCATTTGGAAGATCAGTCTGTCTCTTAACCTCAGAGCCATCTCTCCAGCCTGAAACCTTTATGTTTTGTCTGCGTGTGTGTATATGTATGCATGCCTGGTACTCTCAGAGTTTAGAAGAGCGTGTTGGGTCCTTTGGAACTGGTGACCGCACCATAGACTGTGTGTCCTTCGTGGGGATTTGCCAGTTTTAACCACGTTGACACATTTGCTTGTATTTTCCTGATGCACAGCTGGCATTTATGTTTTAGCTGGACTGCTGGGAAATTGAATTGAGGATCTACTGATTTTTTGTATTTCCTGAGAATAAGAACACCTTGTTGCAGGACACTGTCTAGCCTACTCTGCTATCTACTGTGTGGTCAGATTTTACCATTCCTCCTCCGGCACTGCCTTTTCTTCTGTGGAGTTGTGGAGCTGGGGGATGGACCCTAGGGCCTCACCTTGCCAGACAAGGGTACTACCACTGACCTACATCCCCAGCCTCTTGTTTTTTTCTTTTCAAGACAGGGTTTCCTGTGTAGCCCTGACTGCCTCAGAACTCACTATATAGACCAGGTTGACCTCGAACTCACCGAGATCCTCCGCTTCTGCCTCCCAAGTGCTGGGATTAAAGGCCTGCGCCACCACCACTCTGCTTATCCAGAGCCTCTTAATTGGGTTTTCTAGCAGTTTTTCCTCTGGCTCAAGTCAAGCCCAAGCGTTTGTTGGTCCAGTCTGTGTGAACTCTCTTTGGAAGTCTCTCCCTTACTTTTGGCAACCTAGCTGTTCCTTTGTATAAAAACAAGATGCCTTTGGCCACAGAGGCACGAGGGCTCGCCCCCACTTCCACTCACGTTCCTCAGGCACCTCGAGAGTTGCCAGCTCCCACAGCATCCACTCACTGTGCTGGTAAAAAAAAAAAAAAAAAAAAAAAAAAGGGTGACTATCAGGGCCGCCACACCTCCAGTGCCTGTGTGATCTTTTCCCCAAAGGTACTCCACGCACAAACGGTCTGTTAGGGTGATAGTTTTCTGTGTGCTGAGGTGGGGGTCTCTTGCTGGGTTGCAGTTTGTAGTTCTTTCTTGAAGGTCAAATGCATTCTGGTTTCTGTCTCCATTTAGTCTCAAAGAAGATGGAGCAGGAGCCCCGTATGACAAGGAGTCCACAGCCATTATAAAGCTGAATAACACAACGGTTCTTTATTTAAAAGAGGTCACAAAGTTCTTGGCGCTCGTTTGCTTTGTCAGAGAGGAAAGCTTTGAAAGAAAAGGTAATTTCTGGTGTGATTTGAAAGAACCGCCTCAGTCCGCGCCGCCTCCGTCGCCTGTTGAATGTGCGTAGACACGGCATGCCCGCCAAGCCTCAGCTAAAGATGGCTAGCTTAGGGAGCAGGAGAGGTGGTCCTCCCCAAGGATGAGCCCACCAATTGGTTGTCCAGTGCCAAATGATCAGCCTGGAAAATAAGCATACAGGTGGTGGTCTAGGGATTGAGCAGAGCAGGGTATGATTGGGAACTTAGACGTGTATACATATATGCATGGAGTAACATGGAAAAAGTGGCCATGAATTTAAGGAGAGCAAGGAGCGGGGAAAGGAGAAATTTAACTAAACTGTAATCTATGAAAAAGCTGGCGAGCTAGGCTCTTGGAGGTGTAGAGCTATGTGTGTGCATGCACACAGACCTGCACATTCTACATCTCGTCCCACATTTATCATTGGTTGTTCTTTCCTGTGCATTTTGGAAGCTGAGGAAAACAAGACCCACGTCGATGTATAACTTCAGCTGGCAGCGGGTTCTAAAGCCTAGGAACATTTGAGCTAGGCTGGAGAACTCATTTATTGTGAACTAATCTTAGAATTAAATTATAAAGTTGCAAAAATGGTAAATAATCTTCAAGTCCTCATCTGACCCCCTTTGACAACATTTGACCTGGGAATTGCCAGTTTCTAGTTGGGATGAACTTGTGCACACTGGCGAGAGTCCCATGCAGACATGCCGCCATGCCCTTCCCGCTCAGATGTTGCTCTTGTCTGTCTGCTCCCGGGGAGCCTCTACTAAAGTTGTGTCAGGGTCCCCACTACAAAGTTTCTAAAGGCAAATGCTTCATGCTGCTCAAGTCCAGTTGCTCCTAATATCTGATGTGTGAAACTAAGTTTAAGTAGAAAATGATCATGTAGACCTTTGTGAATTATTAAGAAGCCACAATCTCTGATGACTTGCAGGTTTAGTAGGATATAGTAAACTAACTAGAAACCTAGTTGTTGAGTTTAATATAATGCTATAACTAAGGAATGTAGGGAAATGAACACATTTAAAGTTTCATCATCTGTTTTTTTGTTTTGTTTTGTTTTGTTTCCCCCAAGACAGGGTTTCTCTGTGGCTTTGGAGCCTGTCCTGGAACTAGCTCTTGTAAACCAGGCTGGCCTCGAACTCACAGAGATCCTCCTGCTTCTGCCTCCCAAGTGCTGGGATTAAAGCCACCACCGCCCAGTTTATTTGTTTTTTTTTTTTTGGTTTTGGTTTTGGTTTTGGTTTTTCAAGACAGGGTTTCTCTGTTCTCTATAGCTCTTACCCTTGACATAGTACATCCACCTGTGTTTGCCTTCTGAATGCTGGAATTAAAGGCGTACACCACCAATACCCGGCCCCTCAGCTCATATTTAATGTGTGTATTGTGTGTATGACATCTTTCCATATTGTTTGTCTAAAAAATAACCAATCCCTACCTAATTATTTAGTTATTTTTGAGACTGGGGGTCTCACTATGTAGCCCTGGCTGGCCTTGAACTCATAGACGGGTTCTGGAGAATTTAGGTTGTCAGGCTTGTGAAGCCAGCCCTTTCTGAAAATAAGAAAAAAATGTTTGTTGCTATTACTGTGTGTGTGGAGTTGGTTCGCCCCTTCCACCTTCATTTGTGTTTGGGGGTGGAATTTAGTTAGGTCCGGCAGGCTTGCATAGCAAACACACCTGCTGAGTCATCTTGACAGCCTTTATTTATCTTAATTGCAATTAGTCTTTAATCTGAATGATTAAAAGAAGTTAGTGCAGTTCAGTGGTTTCTCACATCTTTGAGGGCACGGACACCTTTGGAGATTGGTGGAAAACTCTGAGAAGCTCCTGGAATAGTCTTCAGGAAACACCCACCTCTCCTGACCACCTGCCATGCTGGACCTGTTCCGTGATTGTGCCTCTGCTGCCCCCTGCTGGCGGCGGGTGCCACGAGTGACAGGTTGTGTCTCGGGCCACTCATTTAAAGTGTCATTTTGTCTTCTCTGCAGGCCTTATTGACTATAATTTTCACTGCTTCCGGAAGGCCATCCATGAGGTATTCGAGGTGAGAATGAAGATGGTGAAATCTCGAAAAGTCCAGAGTCGCTTACGGAAGAAGAAAGGAGCTACTCCTAACGGGACCCCTCGCATGCTGCTGTAGGGGGGCTATCAGGAGCCTGAGCCCACGCATGTGATGGGGGTGCTGAGCCACACTGGACCTCAGGAAGGAGGAGCCTACGACACGGACGTAGATTTGTTCAGGACAAAGAAAGTACTCTCTTTTTAAAATAAAATGAGCTCTTCGAAGCAAAAACCTGTACAGTAACAAAGTGAGCCCACTCTATCGCTGCATAAATATAAACTTCCGTGTTGATAATCAGAAAACCCCCCTTGAGAACTGCCAGGAACTGTACATACTTTGCACTTTTTCACATTTTTCCTCTGGAGAGGAACTTTGATAAGGACTTTTCTAAACTCTTTTTCTGTACTTGATGTCAAGGGCGTGCATACTATGGTCCATATATGGCCATCGGAAATTCATCCAAAGTAATACATTGGTAAAGACTTTTTGTAAGTTGGGGAACCTTTGCTACCAATTGTTATGGGGGAAATCATTTTTCAGTGGAGCAGGGATAGTAGGTCTGGGCTGGGAGCTCCAGGCAAGAACAGTAAGAACTTGTGTTTGTAATGCGTGTGAATGGAAATTTTTTAGAAGAATATCAGGACCAGGCTTCCATCCAAGTCTGTATCCCTACTGGCCATGCCTTCCTACCCACCCAGTCTTTATGCAACTCTCTCCCTCGGCACACGTCTTTGTGGTCGGTGTGTTCAAGTGGGTGACTTCTTTCTGCTGAGTTATTCTAATGAACCTTAGGGACCAGATTTCTAAAACGATGCCGGTTAGTATAAAGATATATGAATGTTGTTTGAGGAGACGGGGGAAATAGTATGGATTTGTTGGGAATGTTCTGGAGGTACTTCCGTACCTGCCAAGGAGGTAAAATAACAGGCCGAGAGGGTTCCCAGAGAGTCCCAGTGGCAGATGGCCTCTCAGACTAGATACACTTGTGTACCTGTGTGTGTCTGGCTCCTGTGAATGGCCTCTTGTGCTATGTTTAAAGTCTTTGTTCAGGACCAGTTTTTAGTGCTCCATGGCCATAGGCGTGGAGCAGGTCTTTCGTCTTCACTATGGAGTTTAGTCCTTGGTGGCTTCATTTGGTATCCGAATCAGCTTCATTTGGTACCTGAATCACCTGTCCATCTGTGACAGTCTGCCTTGTGTCCTCCCTCCCATGCCTACCAAGTTCAGCTTGCTACCAACTTGCTCTGTGAGAGAATTCTGACACAGGAAAGCTTGTGGCCTGTGGGAAAAGGTCCGCCTCAAGAGGTCTAAGTTAGCCATGGGTTCGTTTTTCTAGATGAACAGGGAATTGGAGTCCTAAATCTAGGCCTATACCAAGCCATTCCAAAGGTTAGCACTGTCAGGCATGTATGACCCTAGAAAAGATTCCTAGGGACATCAGAGCTGCTCTTGCAAAAATACATGAAGTGTTTAAAGCATTTTTTCCCTTCTTATCTAATTGTTTTTCCTTTCCCAAATCTTACACTTGGTTTCTTGCTTGTTTATTGTTTGTGTATGGTTTGGCTGTCCTGGAAGTCACTATGTAGACCAGGCTAATCTTGAAGTCTCAGATCCACGTGACTCTGTTTCCCCTGAGTGCTAGGATCAAAGGTGTGCACCACGAAGCTGCTAACAATGATGGATGTCTGATGTTGCGAGCTGAGCCTCCAGTAGTCTGTGCGGTACTGGGGTTTCTAGCACTCCTTACAGCATTGTGGCTCCTTCCTTACAATTCCCGTACAGAGACCACAAAGGAATTGTTAGGCGTCTGGAACCCCAGAGAAGTTTCCGTTCCCTTAATTTTCAGAGCTGTTCCCTGATGGGCCTTGGCCAACAGGTTGGAAGGAGGTTGGCTACCCTGAAGAGTCTCATCTCCTCCCCCCAACATACACACACACACACACACACACACACACACACACACACACACGAGAGAGAGAGAGAGAGAGAGAGAGAGAGACAGAGAGAGAGAGAGAGAGACAGAGAGAGACAGAGAGAGAGGGGGAGGGAGGGAGGGAGAGGATGCTGTTTGTTTGCTTTTTTGAGACAGGGTTTGAGATGGCCCAGGCTGCTCTCAAACTTGCTATGTAGCCCAGGGTTATCTCCCACTTCTGATCCTCTGCCTTCACTGCCCCGTAGTGCTGGGATCTTAGCAGAGCACCAGCAAGCTTGTCTTGAACAGTGCTGAGGACTGAGCCCCGGGCTCTGTGCACGTTGGGCAGGTTCTCTATTAAGCTTATATCCCAGTTCCTTTTCTTAATAGTTTTTACAAAGTATTTCTCATTGAACAGAGAATTGCATTTTTAATAAGACTTTATTTTTTAGGTAAGACATCTGCCTGTCTGGTAAACCACATGAAATTGCCATGTAGAAGTGGAGCTTCCGTTTTGAAGCTGGTTATATGGTGGGTTTTTGTTGAAATGTGCCTTAAAAGCCCATCAGTTCACGGGCGTGTGATCGATCCTGCAGCTTAGGGCCCATGTTCCTAATCACAGCCGCACTCTCGTTACTCATGCTGATACGGATCGATTCCTGCCTCCGGCCTCGTGTGACAATGACTTCTAAAGATGCAGGAGTTACAGCTGAGCGGTGAGGTTTTCCAGTCTGGGACTGGGATTACTACAGATCTTCACATTCGTTTCATATTTTCTCTTAGATTTGGGAGTTAGTCTAAGGCGCTATGTAGATCTGTGTTGATGCTCAAGTGCAACGATACCCAGAAAGGGCAAACTCCTGGCTACGGCGGCCGCACTAGGACAGTTTTGTTTGGTTTTAGGAGTTGCGAACGGGAAGATTTGTAGAGCAGGACAGGCTTACAGGCTTTTGATTTTTGAGTCAAGTACTTCTGGGTTATGGTCGGACTGACTCGCCGTCTTAGCTAACTTTTAGTCATGGAGATCAGTGTGAGTGACCAGGATAGAGTGTTTTCAAAGGAGTAGAAATAAAAGCTGATTAACATTTACCAAGTGTTATTTTGTGAACATTATATATTTTGGATCCTTAAATAAGAAACGACTAAAAATCACAGCAATACTATTAACGTGGGTTATATGCCAACTGTCTGAAATGGAATTCATAAAAACAATGGCGCTGTTGTGCGATTAAAGTTCAGTATGCACTCAAACAGACTGGGTGTCGTTTGTAATCGAGCACTCTGTTTTACTGTTGATAGTACGTCATTTGTAACCACTGTGGGCCAGCCTGGTCTACAAAGTGAGTTCCAGGACAGGCTCCAAAGCTACACAGAGAAACCCTGTCTCGAAAAAATAAAAAGAAAAAAAAAGATGATTTAATTCACATTCTAAGGAATCTGATGCTCTCTTTGGCCTCCATAAACACTGCGTGCACATGGTGCATGTATCTATGTGCGGAAATTAAAAAACTATTTAAATGCACTATTTAATGTACATTGCTATACATGTAAATGATACAGTCCATTTAAATTACCCGTATATTTAAATCTTTGCATTTATATCACAAATCATATAAAATATTGGTTAGATGAACTGTCTTCCTCCCACAATTTTGTTCAGCTCTTCACCGCTCCTTCTCATTCCTTCCTCATCGTCAGGACGTACTGGATGACCTAACAGCCTTCTTGGTGTTTCAGACTGTACACACCTCAAGTTACTGTCAGTGGAGGGTTTACTGGATTGCAGACTAATTTGCTTGTTTAAGACAGGTATTCTGGAGCTTGCGGTCTTCCCCTCAGCCTCCCAGAGCGCTGGGATTACAGCTCTGTACGATCTGTAATTTCTTTTGGTTTTTCCTAGTGCTGGGATCTACACCAGGCGCTGCCTCGCCGGTGAGTGCTCTATCATTAAGGCACCCTCAGGCCAGAGGGCTGTTTAGCTGTGCATACTAGTAATCACCACAAATAAGGGCTTCTATTTTCTTCCTTTCTTTTCTTTTTTCTTTTCTTTCTTCTTCTCCCCCTTCTTCCCTTCCTTTCTCTCTTTTTTCTTTTTTTGGTGTTTTGAGACAGGATTTATCTGTAACAGCCCTGGCCATTCTGGAACTCTGGAACTCACTCTGTAGACCAGGTTGGCCTTGAAGTCACAGAGATCCACCTGCCCCTGCCTCCCGAGTGCCGTTTCTTTCTATCCTCAATGATTCCTCAAGAGCCTTCTAATAACGATGCCCGCCATTGCATGTCCCCAAGCTCACCCCTCAGCAATGATTGGCATGACTTTTGTCTCTCTGCGCCCATTCGAGGTGGGTAGCTTTTATAACGAAAAATGGCTACCATCTCAGGATTTTAAAAGGTATCTTGTCTTCCTGAACAGTATTTTAGTCGAAACCAACGAATTGAAAGTCCAAAAATTCTACTTCCTACTCGGCCACATCTGTCAGATATTACTGTTTACAAATACCTGCACCTCAACTCTACTTCAGATCTCTGGGGACGTAAAACCAGTGCCAATGGTTTCTCATGGGACAGGCAGGTTGTGGGCCTCTTGGGTGCTGAGTTCCGAGAGTGCGGAAGTCCAGGGTTAGGCTGTCAAGCTTTGCCTATACTGCACGTTGAGTTTCGAGGGAAAGCAGTATAGTGCTATATAGTGCTATCACGAGTGAGCTAAGGAAACCGGTAAGTATTGCCCAGAATGCCGGGGCCCCAGAAGTGCTCTCAGAAGTTCCGTGATTCCTGTGTGTGTGGACCTGTGTCTGCCGAATGAAGAACGCAACATGTATTTAGGAACTTTTTTTTTTTTTTAAGTTTGTGGCTATTACAGTGAGAAATACAACAATCTGCTTAAAAAGTATTGAACTCAGCCTTTTACTGAGATTGGTTCCTAGCGAGTAGGAACTGACGCATTGGCGCGCAGGGGCTGCGCTCTAAGCTATGCAGGTTGGTATGAAGGCTTCAAAACTTCACCAATCAGCAACTGGCTAGCTAGGAACGGGGGGGGGGGGGGGGGGGGGGGCCGGGGGGGGGGGGGGGGGGGGGGGGGGGGGGGGGGGGGGGGGGAGTGTTAGCCAGCAGTGGCAGGGTCAGGACAAGGGGGAAAGGGCACAGGCAGAGTGGCTGAGGGACCGTACATGAAGAGCTCTCGAGATGCGTCAGAGGGCACTGCCCAGCTGTCTGCAAACACATCCGATGCCTCCCGCCCCCGCCACAGTTCGATCACAGCTGCAGGTGTTTCCTCTAGAGCCGAATTTAGACGATGAGAGTCCTCTAGCCAAACCCGTCCATTGGTTCATAAGAACCGAGAGAAAGGAGGCTACAGGTTGTAATTTTTGTTACTAATTTAAGACAGAAACCTTTTTAGCTTTACTTGTTTTCTGTGAGTGAGTACCTTGTCTGCATGTGTATGTGTCCCGAGCTGATGGACATCAGAGGAGTGCATGAGATCCCTTGGAACTGGAGTTGCTGATGGCTGTGAGCTGCCAGCTGAATCCCAGTCCTCTGCAAGTGCTTTTAACTGCTGAGCCAGCTTAGCCCATTACTAATTAAAAAACAAAGCTTCAAAGTGTAAAAGAAACAAAACAAGACACAAAAACCACAGTCTAAATAAAAACAAAAGTGCAAGTCCGGGTAGGGTCCTTCCCTCATCCCTGATTCTGCAGTTCTGGGGGATACCACACGTCTCACAACTATATTAGCAAAGTGAATCTTAAAGAAAATACAGATTAAAAAGCCACATGAAAAAGTGATGCTGTAAATGGCATTATATTGGTGTTCCCAGTAGACTCTGTCTTCTGGTGTCTTTCATTTTGTCTTTTGTCTGGGGACTCCCCATCTGCTTCTCTCTTTCCCCTCCCAAGTTCCATGCCCCTCTCTCTCCTCACCTGGTCCCTCCTGCCCAGCTTGCCCTCCTCTATTTCTCCCAGAGTCTCTGCCCCTCAGAGTCTGATCTCAACCCTTCTTTATCCTCATTGCTCTCTCCCACACATGGCCTCCCAAAGAGACAGAACCTAGTTAACACCCAGCCTCCTCCCTGAGCCCACAGGGGGCAAGTTCTATGTGATAAGGTCCCAGCTGGGGCAGGATGGCCTGTGGCACAGGGTGTGTGGTAGCAGTGGGTGTCCCCAGAGCCGGACTGTGATGTGGGTGGGAGCAGAGCAGCCCCCCTTCTTCTTCACAAAGATCCCAGGCAGCCCATGGTCCAGGACTCCACCTCAGAGTGACTATGGGTGCCAGTGTTTTTTTTTGTTGTGTGTGTGTGTGTGTGTGTGTGTGTGTGTGTGGCTGGGTCCCTCTAACTGCCCTGCTTGGGCAGGAGACTGAAGCCAGAAGCTATGCTAGGTCTCTGGGGTCTCCAAGTCTGCTTCCTCTGACACGGCCCTTTTATTTTGGGGACGTCTGCCTTTGTTTCTGCCTCACCAAGTCCAGAGACTCTTGTTTTTGTTTCTGCTTCTCAGTTACAGATAAATGTTTCTTAGCTATGGATAATAATTTTTGAAAATTTGATATTGTTTTGGTTCACTAGAACCTGGGTCAGGAGATGGGATCTAACCTGTTTACATTAGTTCTAAGCATGATTCTGCATGCAGTCATGCTAAGCACACATGAAATTTATTTACAGAGACAAGCTTGGAGGGAGAGTACAGTCTATAGCTAGATCCCCTTGTATAGTCTTCTGTGTATGTTGTTCAAGTTAAGCCTCAAGTAACTCAAAACAACTAAAGTAAACTTAAAGTGTGTTCAATGTGAACTCATATAAAGAACCCTGATTTTTGGTGGGGTTCACCTCTTTAATCGGAGCACTCTGGAAGCAGAGGCAGGCAAATATCTGAGTTTGAGGCCAGCCTGGTCTACACAGAACGAGTTCCAGGACAGCCAGTGCTGCACAGCGAAACCCTGTCAAAAAACAAAAAACAAACAAAAAAACCAAAACTCAAAAACATAATAAAAAAAATTCCTAGTTTTTTAAAAACAAGTGATTGAGTTAAATTTACAATACACTTGCATGACCAACATCCCCAGGGTCAAGTAGTGCCCTTTCCCTAGGGTGGGACATGAACCCCATCAGAGTCAACTGATAACCTGGTGAAGAGAGAAGTAAACAAAACTGACCTCCAGTGTGCTTCTCCACTGATCCTTCATTCTTTGTGTTCTCTCCTCCAACGTAACACCTTCCCTGTCATTGCTTAGCAATGGACCTTATAACCAGGCCTGCAGGGGCCTATGGTCATTCCGGTCCTACCACCAGTCTCTGGGCGCTCTTGCCCCTGGAGTTCCCCTTCCAAACAAGAGCAATAGGGTATTTCCCTTTTATTTTATTCTCAACGCCATCATCATCAGGCCCTTTGGGAGCTCTCCTCTGTATAAAGTCAGCTCAATAGGAAGTACGGCCTCTCCTTCCTTAGCTGAAAAAAACCACCAGCAGCAAATCCGGCATCAAATTATGTCAAAACTTAATCATAATTGCTGCAGGAGAAAACTCAACTCCAATTTTCTCTAAATTGAAACATGTACAGAGGGGAAAATATGTTGATGAAAAGGAAGTAATACTACGTAAAGGTTACAAAATTTTTGACTAACTGGATAGGAAGGGAATTTCCCCCCAAAAAGTTTAGGTCTGTCAAAAGAATGCTTTATTTTATCAGAAAACCAACTTCTTCCTAGAAGAAAGTTACAATTTAGAGGAGACAAAAGGTTCAACCCAGGACTAATTTGGAATACTTTTCACTTTATTCTTGGCAATGATCTTAAGGAGAATCTCTCTCTCTCTCTCTCTCTCTCTCTCTCTCTCTCTCTCTCTCTCTCTCTCTCTCTCTCTCTCTCTCTATCAAAGCTGTCTCAGGAGCTACCACAAATGACAGAAGATGAAGTTCAAAACACTTCAGGGTTTCTCTGTGTATCCCTGGCTGGCAGTTCTGAGTTATAATCCCCATGTGTTCCCCCTTTCCCCCGCTAGAGATCAACCAAACCCCTTTGAATGTGGGTCCCCTGCCCTCAACATTCACAACCTGGGACAAGGTCTGTGTGTTGAACGCTTGATCAATTCATTGATTCTTCATGTTATTCTTCATATTCCTCAGAGTGTTAAAAATAACAGGTTTTTTTAATTGGTGAAGTCAATTGAAGTCTTAAAGAAATTAAGCACAGGAGAACCAGGGCTTAAAAAAGAAATCAAGCAATTCATTTAAGTTTTCAGTTTTATTCGGGTACATTACAAGTTATTATCCTATATCATTGCCGTTATAGTTCAGGTGTAACGTTACAGACCACCACACCATACGAGGTCAAATTACAACCCTTTATTTAAGCCAGCGACCAAGAGCAGAGTCTTGCCCCAAAGAAACTCTCAGCACCAAAGCTCAGGGTACAGCGTTTCTAAAGAGAAACCACAGTGACCTTGTCAGGTGCAGGTCAGGGCAACCTGGTGGCATTTGTTTTGACTTTTGAGCAGATATTTTGGTTATGCATCTGAGCCATGTTAAGTCCCAATGTGCTCCCACGGGCGGACGTGACTGGTCAGATCAGGTAGGGGCTGAAAGGGTGCCCAACCAGACACAAAATGGAGTCAGGATAAGATCGGGACAAAATGATGTTACCTTAGTCACCTCACTCTGCAGTTCTTTTACTTTTCAAATACTTGACTTTTATGAAGGAGCAGGGATTGAGAAATAATCGGTTAATTAATCAGGGCCCAGTCATTATACCCACGATGATGATGCAAGGATCCAAGGGGCCTGTGAGTAAGACGTTAGCATGGATTCCGATCAACCAGCTATGGAACCAGAAACCACTGGCCTTTTTTAACTTATCATTTAAAGGGTTACAAGGTCCAAGCGTTTCGGAGGGCTAGTCAGGCATAACTCATTTAAGAAATCAGACAGTTTTAAAGTACTTATTTTTAGATGAAGCAGAGCTAGTAAAAGTTTGCGACAGACCCCAGTTCTGGGGAGCCCTATGGGAAACATTATGGCCAATATTAATAGGACGGGAATTGGAAGCCAAGGTAAAGGGCATGACCACCAGAACTACCGTGCCGGTCCCATAACCAGTCGACGGCAGGTACAAGGTTTACCCCATTCGCCACACACTCAGATGCTAGTTAGAGTGGGAGACATTAAGGGCAGGGCAGTTGCTATTTGCCTATTGCTCGAGACACTGAGGATGTGAATCCAGATCTCAGATCCTCCACCGGGCAAGAGAAGCCATTCCCTGTCATGAGAGACATGGGGCCTAATTCCTCCGATCATCGCGCGAGCTCCGGGGAACGACGGGGAAGCCACCGGTCTTCGCCCGTCCCGCCACGAAGCGCCCGCCACGTCAGGCGACCTCACAGAGCCGGCGCGGGCGGTGACGCAGCGGCGCGTTGGCTCTGACGTCATCCTCGCAGGCCGTCCGCAACCCGGCTCCCGGCTCGGCGACGCCCCGGCGCCCGGCCGGCCCTCAGGGAGGCGGACCCCGCGGCCCGGCCTCGCCTCGCGCCTCGCCTGCGGTCGGGCCGGACTGGGCGGTGTCAGCGGAGGCCCTCGGCAGGCGCGTCCGCCGCGCGACACCCGGGCAGCCGCGGCGCCGACGGGAGCGGCAGCGGGGGCCCCGCCATGGAGACCCGCTACAACCTGAAGAGCCCGGGTGAGCGGGGCTGGGGCGGCTGAGCGGCTGGGCGGCTGGGCGGCCGGGCGGGGGCCCTGGAGGCTCGGAGCGGCGCCTCGGCCGGCTCGCGTACCCCCGGTTCTCGCGGCTATTCCGGGTTCGCGCTTTACGCGAGGCCGCTGCGGGTCCCGGGGTGCAGGCCGCAGGGCGGGGCGGCCGCTGCGGAGCCCCAGACCGGTTGTCGCCCCTTGGCTCCTGACCTCCCCTTCCCAGTCCTTGCCGAGTGGAGCTGGCGACGGTCCTGCCAAGGGCAGGTGTACAGGCGACGTCAGCGGGAAGTACTGACCGTATCCCTCCCGGCTGTACTCGCATCCTCAGGACCCTGTCTGTCGCTGCCGAGTAACTTTGTTAGGTGTTTGACTCGCATTTTGGGGGAATCTGTCGTTGAAATATCCCATTTCAGTGTTCGGAGAAGAACCGAATTATAGACATTGAAAAAACATGTCCTGTAACTGAACTAGTTGAGCTGTGTACTTGAGAATCATGATTGGATGGGGGGGGGGGGGAACTGCTAATTTGTCTGAATTCACGCGGAGAATTTATTTTCTTCATTTAGACAATCCCGGCCTCCAGTTTTTTTTTTTTTTTTCTTTCTTTTTTTTCTGGTGCATTAAAAACAATGCAAAAAACAAAAACGTCCTCTCCATCCAACCAAATTTAAGGATTTAAGGGTGTGTGCCACCACTGGCCGGCCACACAGCTGAATTTTAAAGAGACCACATCCTCTGTCTTCAGCCTATCACTTACAACCTAAAGAATTAAAAAGAGGCAGAGAAAGTAGAAATGCTTGAATGTTACCAATTTGATGCCAGAATGGTTGAATTAGTTGGAGTTTAAAACTAAAACTGTGGGGCTGGGGAGGTGGCTCAGTGGTTAAGAGTATTGACTGCTCTTCCAGAGGACCTGGGTTCAATTCCCAGCATCCATATGGCAGCTAACAAGTGTCTGGAACTCCAAGGTCTGACACCCCAACACAGGCATACATGCAGACAAAACACCAATGCACGTAAAAATAAAATCAATTAATTAAAAAGAAAGTAGAACTGTGGTAAGTTGTGTGTACTTTGTTAGTCACACGGTTGCTCTAGATCAGCAGACGTCCTTGGGTGAATGGCAGAGAATAATGCCTCGTGAAATGTCAGGAAATTGCTCAATCTTTTTTTTTTCAATCTTTTTTTTAATGATTTATTTTAATTTATTGATTTATTTTTTTAATGTGAATTGTTTTGCTTGTATGTATATCTGTGTGAGGGAGGGTGTCAGAACTGGAGTAGCAGACAGTTTGTGAACTGCCATGTGGGTGCTGGGAATTGAACCAGGGAATTATCTGGAAAAGCAACTAGTGCTCTTAACTTCTGAGCCATCTCTCCAGCCCCAAATTGCTCAATCTTGATAGGTCATCGTACTCGAGATTATGATAAAATTTAAGCAACTTTAGAAATTAATACATTCATAGCTGGGTATGGTAGGATGTACCTTTAATTCCAGCATTTGGGAGGCAGAGGTAGGCAGATCTATGTGAGGTCCAGTCTGGTCTACATAGTGAGTTAATAAATTTCCAAAGTATGTTGAGTTTTGATTAACTTTTGTATCTTTTTATAAATTCCATCCTGTTTTTAGTTTCCTCAAAGATTATGGTATTCTATTTCCTGTTGGTGTAGACGATTTTGATTTCATCGAGAAGGTGAATTAGATGCGCCATAAAACTTGTTAAAATACTAAGGAGCTTGGTGGTAATGCTTGCTTTGTTTTAGTCTCAGACCTTCATTATTTGTAGATTAATGGCTCCGTGAAAGGAAGTAAACATCTCATTTCCTATCTGCTGGTGTTGGATTATCTCCAGCCCTCTGTGTTGTTTTAGTGTTTATGTATTTAGTGTGCGTGTTTGTGTTTGTGTGTGTACGCGCCACGACACACAGATGAAGATGAGAGGACTCAGTGCTTTCCTTCCGTCAGGTGGGACTCAGAAGTCAAACTCCATGTTGTCAGGCTTGGTGGCAAGTGCCTTTACCTACTGAGCAACTCGGGCACATTTTCAGTTTTTTTAAAAAAGTAAACACATTCACAGTGTCTTTGTAAGTAAAAACATTAGTTCTTAAACTTTTGTTGACATGCCTTCATTCTTGGGAACAGGAAGAGGCAATTGGGAGCATCATTTAGGACTCAGGTTTTTAATGCACCTGCCTCCTGAAATTCACCATGTCTTGGGAATTGGCTATAGTAAGATAGGGACTTCCCAAGGGAACTGATGATTGGAAGACATGGCCTATAAAAGATCCCTTTATTTGTATGTTTCTGGTCCTAAATGTAGTGTAAGCAGTGAACTAGCTGGACGAAAGAGGAGAGCAGATGCTGGGGCCATGGAGCCTAAAGTCTTGATCCGGAGAGACCAGATGGCCTCCGTAAACGGCTTAGGAGTAGGAATGCAGCTGTCAGTCCCTTCTTTAATTGATGTTGTCTCCCACAGTCAGAGAGCTCTAGGAAATATGGAGAGAGGAGCAGGGGCTGAAGCAAGAGATGGGCTGTCAGGAGGAAGGCACCGCTCTAGCCTGGCAGCTCTTTGTACCTTGACATTCCATAGAGACCCTTCTCCTTAGGAATCGGTATTTTTAAGTGGCTTTAAAACAGGAATGTGATGGCTAGTTTTTATCTGGATTCCTTTGCTGTTGCTGTGATAAAATACTCTTGACAGAAGCAGCTGCAGGGTGATTGCGTTTATTCTTGGCTCACAGTTCATTGTAGTGGGGAAGTTGTGGCCGCAGGAGCTTGAGGCTGTAGTCACATGGTATCTAAAGTCAAAGTGCAGAAAGTCCACTCTCTTTCTCCTCTCTCTCTCTCTCTCTCTCTCTCTCTCTCTCTCTCTCTCTCTCTCTCTCACACACACACACACACACACACACAATTATATGTATAGGTATATATGTGTATACGTGCACAGAGTCCAGGATCCTAACTTAGGAAATGGTGCCATCCACAGTGGGTGGGTCTTTCCACTTCAATAATCAGATCAAGATAATCTATGGTCATAACTAGAGGCTTATGTCCCAGGTGATTTTATGTCTCATCAAATTGACAGTTGAAATTAACCATCATAACATTGGGTTGTCAGCCTGGCAGTGGATGAGCCTCTGAGCATTTCCCGTGAGGGACTGGATTATATAGATTAGGCTAACCTTAACTGTGGGGTGCACCATCCCATGGTCTAGGGTTCTGGACTGATAGACAACATGAGCTGAGTTCTGGCACTTGTCTCTGTGTTTCCTGACTGTGGATGTAGTGTAACCAGCCAGCTGCCGCATGATCTCCCTACCATGAACTAACTACCTTGGGAGCGAGGATAGACCCTGCTTTAAAGTGCTTTTGTCAGTAGGGGAAGTAATAGAAGAGGACTTTTATTATATTTGTACTGGCTGGTTTTATTTCAACTTGATACAAACTAGAGTCATCAGAGAGGAAGGAGCCTCAGTTGAGAAAATGCCTCTGTAAGATTCAGCCGTAAGGCATTTTCTTAACTAGTGATCAATTGGGGGGAGTGCCCAGCCCATTGTGGGTGGTGCCATCCTTGGGCTGATGGTTTTGGGTTCTATAAGAAAGCAGGCTGAGCAAGCCAGTAAGCAGCTCTCCTCCATTGCTTTTGCACCAGCTCCTGCCTCCAGAATCGGCCCTCCTTGAGTTCTTTTCCTGACTTCCTTTGGTGATGACAGCAATGTGGAAGTGTAAGCTGAATAAACCCTTGCCTCCCCAACTTGCTTTTTAGTTATGGTGTTTTGTTGCAGCAATACAGACCCTAAGACATCACTGTTAGCATCATTGTTAGTATTATGATTGTGTGTGCAGGTGTGCGTGTGCCAAGGTGAATGTATGGAGGTCAGAGGACAACCTTCCTGCGTCAGTTCTTGCTTTGACCTTGTTGATGAAGACTCTTGCTGTTTCTGCTGTGTGCTCTAGTTGGCCTGCAGGTGCTTTTCTTGTCTCCACCTTGTCTTACAGTAGTGCTGGCTTTACAAACAGGCATGTCCCTGAGTCCTGGGTCCCTGAGTCCTGGGGATTGAACAAGATCTCCTGAGCCATCCTAACAGCCTTCAGTCTCCCTCCACAGGCCTCTAGATGGGAGGCCCTGACCTTCCACACTGACCTTTTCAACCAAAACATAGAGGGATTGTTTTTTTTTTTTTTAATCAGTGTTGAATAAAAAGTTTTTAATGTCAAGTTCATTTAAAAAATGTTGCCAGTCACAGTTCCAGATTCTTGGACGAGAAATGATGGAAGACTTTAACATTCATTTGTTGTATTTTTATACTTTCTGTTCTAAGCTCTGAAGAGGCCATAGTGAAGTAGAGCCTTCACTACTTAGCAGAAAAGACAAGGGCTAAACAGGTACTGTAGGTACAGTGTCGTGACATCACATAGCAAGAGACTCAAGCTGGTCCCAACATGACTGGCCATTAGGAACATTGGAACAGGAGTCCTAGTCTCTGTCCTATTTTCAGACACTTTCATTTGCCCACATGAGAATCTCTAGTCCCTCTGGGAAGGACAGGTAAGTATCAAGTGGACCTTTCTGAAGAAATTGCTTGAAGGTCAGGCATGGTGATACTCGCCTTTAATCCCAGTGCTCAGGAGGCAGAGGCAAGTGGATCTCTGTGAGTTCCAGGCCAGCCAAGGCTGCATAGTGAAACCTGTCTCAATAAAGCAAAACCAAAGTGAAATAAGACAATAACAAAAGGCATTGCTTATATGTAGGAGCCAGTCTAGATGGTGACAGATGCCAGAACAGCTTTTTTTTTTTTTTCTCCACTTTGTAGACCACGCTGGCCTCTGAACTCTGCCCGCCTCTGCTTCCCAAGTCCTGGGATTAAAGGCGTGCAGACACTGGCTGGCCAGAACAGCTTTGCAAATGGAGGAAACAATAAGTAAGGAGGCCCGGAATAGAGAAAAGGTAGGGTGTGTCTGAGAAATGAACCAAGTTGAGTGTCTAGAATTTGGAGGGAGAGGTTGTGTCAAACATGTGTTTCTACTAAAGATGTTTTCATGCTGTGTTAATACCGACTGCCTCTTAACTTTAAGCTCCTTGATGCCCTAGAATTTTATAATTGTAGTTGCCACTTCTAGCTCCTAGTAAGTACTTGAAGTATTTGATAAAGTGGATGAACTCGCTTTAGAGTAGTAGATGGAAAGTTATGAAGTAAACTTAGTTTAAGTTGTTTGAAACAGTCTTGCTGTGTGGCTCAGGCTGGCCTCAAACTTGAAATCTTCCTGTCTTGACCTCCTGCGTTCAGGGGTTACACCTGTGTGCCCTCAATCCTGGCTAGGAACTTTTTAAAGCCTAGATCAAAAAAACCTAGACTCAGGCGACACTGTATGAAAAGCAGCACCAGATTGATCTGGTTTTGTGTGTGGGAGTTGCTTCCCCATTAGCCTATGTCTCCCACACTCTAACCTACCCTTTGTATGGTTCACTCTATCTTCTCTTCCTGTTCCTACCCATCTGGAGAGCTACCTGCTTTTTGTTTTTCAACTACCTGGTTTTCTTTCAAGGGAAAGCAGGTAGGTAGGACCTGTTTTCTTCTGTCTGCTTTCCGTAGACAGGGGTGTCCTTGAACTCACAAAGATTCACCTGCCTCTACTCCCTGAGAACTGGAATTAAAGGCATGCGCCCCCACACCTGGCTAGGAAGGCTTTTATCAGCCTGTGCCAATCAATGGACAGGTATGTTTTAAATATCTCCATTTTCTTTCAGCTGTTAAACGACTGATGAAAGAAGCGGCCGAATTGAAAGACCCCACTGATCATTACCACGCTCAGCCTCTGGAGGTTGGTTTCTGTCTCTCCTGAGGGCTTCAGTGCTGTAGTGTCCACTGCTTTGACTGTTGATGTGTTTTGAGCTTCTTATTGATCTACTTTATTCTGTTTCATGAGTGTTTTATTAGCCTTTTGTCTGGCTCCTTTGGCAACACAACTTAGGGATTCTGTCTGTGAGTGATTACTTGGTGTTCAGTATGGAGGGAGGGAGGGTCAGTAAAAACCCCACACACTGCACTTTCAGGAAGACTCAGACCGTTGTGGGGTCTTTGCAGCTACCGACACAAGCATCTCTTCCTGCTCTTTCTGAAAGGAGGGTGCTGACTGTGCATAGTCGGGTTTTCATGGTAATAGTGAAGATATAGTATGTGTAAGAACTTAGTAATGTACAGTGACATGTACATTACTAATATTACTGGCCAGTTATACATAATGAAGAATACTTTTTAAAGCTTTGTTAAGACAACTCAAATATATACTAATGATTTGACTATTTCCACTAATTGATTTTTTGAGACATTAATTTACAGTTTAAATGGATCCTATTTATGAATATATAATTTTTAAATTTAAATTTTAAACCAAATTAAATATTTGGTTAAAAGAGATTTCATCTTTTATGAAACATAAAATTTATGTTAAATAACACCTTTTTGCTTATGACTTTTGAGGCATCTTGAGCATTAGAGGCTAATAGCACTATTAGGAAACATTTGATTTCCCTCACTTGGCATTTTTAATGTTACTATTAATAAAAATGATAAAATGTTTAAATGTTCTTGATCCTGTGGATTCTTGTTTTTGCTTAGGATAACCTTTTTGAATGGCACTTCACAGTTAGAGGGCCCCCAGATTCTGATTTTGATGGAGGAGTTTATCATGGACGCATAGTTCTGCCACCAGAGTACCCCATGAAACCACCGAGCATTATTCTGCTAACGGTAAGAGTTCTTGGCATTTTACAGTGCTTGTGGGTAACTTCTCCAGTTATCTACAAATGTAGTCAGCATATTTATAAGAAATGAAGTAGAATATTCTAATTGCCATCAGCACCTAGGCCATAGGAGTGCAATAATTTCTCCTCGGATTAATCCCGAAGAAGCTGTTGTATCTGTGAAGCACTGGTGATACTGGCGAATGCATAATGTCGTAGCACAGTTGTTAGGACTCCGTGACATGCCGCCTGGATGTGGTGATGCTGAGTGCAGCTCACGTCAGCTCCAGTTTCCCACCCATCTCACACCGTTTTCATGAGTTCCCTCATATGTGCAGTGAGGTGTAATGGCTGACGCGGAAAGAAAGATCAGGATCTATGATAGCGCTTAGAAACCTTAATAAATGTGTTTTATTTCTGTTTGTATCTCAGAACTTCTGCCTTTCTGTCTTCTCTTTTCATGTGAAAGAAGAATATTGTTATATTAACTCTCTGGATTGCTAAACTGTCCCAGTCTCACTTAGGTTTAACCCTTTCCTAACCGTGAAAAAGGCAGCACACATCCATCCATCCATACACGCACAGACCTTTTTGTTGCCGTGTCTTCTCTTTGATGACCTTACTCGTGTGTAGACTATTGCAGTCGTTTCACAAATGTCTGTTGAAACTTACCCGAGAACTGCTACAGCTTCGGTCTTCATCCTGTTCATCGAGTCTTCTCTGACACAGGCGTTAGCTCCAGCTGTGCTCGGGAGCGTGCACAAGGTGCTTGTTTTAGGGTTAGCTGGCCAGGGCCCTGAGCAGTGCTCTTTCCATTACCCGCCTGGAGGTTGTATATTATCTTTGTTTCTGTCTGATGGAATGTTGTTTGTGGCAAGTACAGCCACATCCTAAAGTTCCAGGCGTCTAGAAGCTGCTCAGCATGCACTGGCTGTTACTGCTAACTGTTGATGTTGATATGAAGGCTGGGGCAGTCCTTTAGGCTCCCATGTTAGGACTTATTTCAGTTAACTGGGAGAAACAAGAGGTCTGCTGTAGCATGAATAATAAAAACCCTGAGACAGGTACTGGGATTCAACCTGAAGATCAGGAAGCAAAGCAGCCAAGCCACTAGAGAGCTCTTATCTCTGAAATCTCCAGACTGACAGAGAGCAAGCTCCTGTCTCATCCTGCCTTATATTCCTCACTAGTGCAGGGACTAAAGGCGTGTACCACCACTGCCTGGCCTCTGTGACTAACTAGTGTGGCTACTTTGGTTAAAGGTGTGTGCCACCAGTGCCTGGCCTGTTTGGCTGACCAATGTGGCTGTTTTGCCTTCTGATCTTCAGGCAAGCTTTACTTATTAAAATACAAATGAAATATCACTGCAGCCTGGAGAAAGGGGCTGGTGTATGGGAGAGGTGGAGAGGTGTGTGTGTGTGTTTGTGTAAGAGAAAGAGAGAGAGAGACTGACTATAGCTTGGAGAAAGGGGCTGGTGTATATGAGTGTGTGTGTGTGTTGGGCAATAGATAACAGCTTTTTACCAGTAGTTAGCCAGTGGATCAGTTGGATTTATCACACTGAAAAGGAGCTCTGTCCTTGTCAGTAGTCAGTATTGCCTTCTTGTTGTTCACTTTCTTTCTTCAAAAAGTCACTTTCAATTTTGATTGAGCAAATATTTACTGAACATGACCCATGATGAGGCAGGACTGAGTCAGCCTCCGCCCAGCGGTGCTTCTGCCTTAGTGCCTTTTTCCTCACCTCCTTCAGCCTTGTGGCTGTTCACCTGCTCAGAATTGCAGTGGTCATCTCTGAAAAAGGTGTCAAGAGTCTCCATCTTTTACTGACATCAGCATGCTTCTATTTCTGCCTGCCTGCTCAATGTCATTGGTAACTTTCCTATAAACCATCAGTTCTGTGTCCAAATCAAAGTCATGGTCTCTGCTCTTCCTTTACCACGTTCTATCTAATTAAATGGCATTAACCTTCTGAAAAAGTGCTCCTGTCTTAAAGCCTCCTCCAGCATGTCAGGTGACTTGGCCTTTATGTGTCTTCTCTTTATGCAAACATAGATTGTAGTAGGCACAAGGCATAGCATCAGTTCCAGCTGTGCTGCTCAGAGAGGTGCCAGTGCACCTTCAAAAAAAGAAAAAAAAAAACAACTTTATTCAGCCTTTAACAAATGTTTTTGAATGCCTATACGAGGACAAAAAACCGCTCCTTTATTAGAGTTAAATTTCTTTAAATATTATCTTTAAAATTATTATTTATATGTAAATATGATATGTATTGGTTCTTGGAAAGCAGAAGGCATTAAATAGACTTTTGCAGTTTTTAAAATACGTTCTTTATTTCTAAGGCTAATGGGCGATTTGAAGTAGGCAAGAAGATCTGCCTAAGCATCTCAGGGCATCATCCTGAAACCTGGCAGCCTTCATGGAGCAGTGAGTATTAGTGAATAGAAGCTGCTTATAATACACTTGAGAGTAAAGATGTTTTGGCTAATATGTAGTTCCCTTGGAAATTAACAAATATTTTTCCATGTCTAAGTTTGTATAGAACTTTAATAACCTCTCACATCTCCTGAAAACCTTCAGATTTTTTTTCCAGAGTAAACCTAGTTCCCTTTAAAATTTTTATTTTGTATTTGTGTGTGTGTGTATGTATGTGTGTACCTGCGCATGCTTATGTTTGTGTGCAGATGTGTATGGAGGACAACAGTTGTTGAGGGGTGTCTTCCTTAATTCTCTTGTACCCTGTTTTTTGAGGCAAGGTCTCTCACTGAACCTGGAGTTTGCATATTTGTTAGGCTTGCTGGCCAAGCAAGCTCCTGGGAGCCTCCTGTCTGCTTCCCCAGAATGGGTAGAGCATGCACTGCTCTATTTTCTTTCTTACAGCAAGCATACAGGGGGCATGGGTCCCTGCGCTTGCGCTGCTAAGCTGGCTCCTACCCCAGCTCCTACCCCAGCCCAGCTCCTACCCCAGCCCAGCTCCTACCCTAGCTTCTTCCCCAGCCCAGCTCCTACCAGAACCCAGCTACTACTATAGCATCTACCCCAGCCCAGCTCCTGCCCCAGCTCCTTTCACTGAATTGATGTTCATTTTCTGTTTCAGTAAGGACAGCATTGCTGGCCATCATTGGTTTTATGCCAACTAAAGGAGAGGGAGCCATAGGTTCTCTAGATTACACACCCGAGGAGAGAAGAGCACTTGCCAAAAAGTAAGTTCCTTGTTAGGGCCGAGTGGTATTAGTGGTTAAGGATCCAGTCTTAGCATTGTAGAAATCCAACTCTGAAAATTTCCTTGGAGTGATCAGAATATTAAAAAAAATTGATCTCATGATATTTTTTTTGTAGTATTTTGGATCAGTCCCGGGATTTCATTCCATGTCAGGCAGGTACTCTTCCACTAAGTTGTATTGCCAGCCTAACTATTTTATTCGTTTAAAAGTAGTTGATGGGCTGGAGAGATTTCAGGGGTCAGCACTAACTGCTCTTCCAGAGGACCCACATTATGACTCCTAACGGTCTGTAACTCCAGCCCCACAGGATCCAGTTTCCTCCCTCTTCTCTTCTCTGTGGGCACAGGAACACTTCTGGTGCTCAGACATGCAAGCAGGCAAAACACCAGTACTCATAAAATAATAACTAGAAAATAAAGTAGTTGGAAGCATTCTACTAAGATTTGGTTTACTCCAGTGAAACAGAATTTCCTAGAAAGCGTTACTGGCCCTTTATCCCATTTCGCTTGGCATCACAAGTGGGAGGAGCCATAGCCATTGTTTACACACAGCTGTCTGTAAGATCAACTCCCTGGGGCTGTGAAGGAGCCCACTCAATCTTTGTAGCAGCTTGCATAGCTTCAACTAGATATTCAATAAGTGATCTGGGATAAAATAAAGGAAATTTTTATTAGGTAGTGATATGATGGTGATCGCACCCTCTCTTAGTTTTGTTTTTCTATATAGTCATAGAAATTCATTCAACTCAAAGTACCATTTCCTTTCTGGCTGTTCTGGAACTCACTATATAGACCAGACTGGCCTCAAACTCAGAGTTCTGGAATGAAAGTTGTATGCCTCCAAACCCAGCATAAATTATTATTATTATTACTGTTATTTTTTTTTCTTTGGTTGTTCAAGACAAGGTTTCTTTGTGTAGCCTTGGCTGTCTTAGTACTCTTAGACCAGTCTAGCCACGAACTCATAGAAATTTGCCTGCCTCTGCTTTTCAAGTGCTGGAATTAAAGACTCGGGCCACCACTGCCTAGCTCATAAATTCTATTTTTAATTGACTTCTTTCCCGTTGTATGTTTTTGCTAAGATATAATTGGAGCTTTATATTAGACCTTTTCACAGACTTTGACTAGGCTCATGGTCTGGGTTCTTCAGGATGGTATCACAGAGTATAATAGACAGTTTACAGAAATATGTTGCCACTGTAGATCTGAAGCTTTCTTTAGATAACTTATTTTTTAAAAATGAAACCTAAGCTGTTTTTTAATGAATCATTTACTTTCCTCAGAACACAGTTGCTCCCTTGTCTCATGGCCTGTGGGTGACTGTGCTGTGAAGTTGTTAAGTGCCCTTTTCTTTTAGTTATTCCATATATGAGTATCTTTAAAATGTTTTTAAAGGGGCTGGAGAGATGGTTCAGCGGTTAAGAGCATTGCCTGCTCTTCCAAAGGTCCTGAGTTCAATTCCCAGCAACCACATGGTGGTTCACAACCATCTGTAATGGTGCCCTCTTCTGGCCTTCGGGCATACACACAGGAAGAATATTGCACACATAAATAAATAAATAAATAAATAAATAAATAAATAAATATTAAAAAAATGTTTTTAAAGATTTGTTTCTTTTTTATTTATGTTTATGGATGTCTTGCCTTCGTGCATGTACATCTGTGCATCATGTATGTGCAGCATCTGTGAAGGCCAAAGAGGGCATTGGGTTCCCTAGATCTGTAGTTACAGATGGCTGTGAGCTGCCATATGGGTGCTGAGAATGGAACCCTGGTCCTCTGGAAGAGCACTCTAGCTGCCATTTGAGTATCTTGTAAAAAGGGGAGTTAGTACTCAGCTGTTTGAGTTATGCTCATTGAACAACATTGTCTCCTACCAGATCACAAGATTTCTGTTGTGAAGGCTGTGGCTCTGCCATGAAGGATGTCCTATTGCCTTTAAAATCTGGAAGTGATTCCAGCCAGGCTGACCAAGAAGCCAAAGAACTGGCGAGACAAATTAGTTTTAAGGTATTATAAACTCCTAAACAGATCTGTTTATGTAACCTTTTTGTTTACTGCTGAACTCTAGATAAAAAGGGAAGTAATGTAGTTCTACTGACATGAGATTTTTATAAAGAGTGTTTTCTTAATACAAAACATATAAGCTACACTCATGCAGACTTTGGGGCATAGTTATAGCTAGACTGGTAAAGGCTGCATTCAGATGAGCTTTGCCGTTTACTGCTGACATCCCAGACATAGTGCTTTACCATCATGTGCCCCCTTACACCTGTAAATAATAGTAGTACCTTCTTCGGACTTTGTCAGGATATGTTAATTAACACGTATACCACATAGTGCTTCATAAATCCTAGTCTTTTTCTTCCCTTTCTCTTCTCTCCCTCCCTCTCTCTCTGTCCCTTTCTTTCTCTTACTCTTCTTTCATACATTACATCCTGATCACAGTTTTCCTTACCTCCACTCCTCCTAGTCCTTCCCCAACCTTGCTCTCCCCCAGATCCACTCCTCCTCCATTTCCCTTCAGAAAAGAGAAAGCCTCCCAGGGATATCAACTGAACATGTCAGTTCAAGATACAATAAGACTAGGCATAAACCCTCATAGCAGGTCTGGACATGCAACCCGGTAGTAGGAGGGTCCCAAGAGCAGGCATAAGAGTCTGAGATACCCCCTCCCCATTCCCACTGTTGGGAGTCCCACAGGAGCACCAAGCTACACAGCCATAGCATATATGCGGAGGGCCTAGGTCAGCACCGTGCAGACTCTGAGATTGTTGCTTCAGTCTCTGTGCGCCCCTGTAAGTCCTGCTTAGTAGATCCTGTGGGCCATGTTCTTGTGTACTCACCACTCCTACAGTCCTTCCCTCTTCTGAGATCCCTGAGCTCTGCCTAATGTTTGGCTGTGGCTCTCAGCATCTGCTCCCATCAGTTACTTGAAGCTTTTCTGATGACAGTTGGGCTAGGCACCAGTCTATAAGTATAGCAGAAAATCATTAGGCATCATTTATTCATTTATCCATTCATTCATTTATTCATTTATCTGTCCGTCCGTCTGTCTATTTATGTTAGTCCTGTTTGGTTCTGTCCTAGATCTCTGGGCTATCCAGCCTCTGCTTCCTGGCTATCCAGGCCCTTTTGTGGGCCTCAAGTTGGACCAGTCATTGGTTGGCCATTCCTACTAGTACTGCACCACCATTAGCCCAGCACACCTTGCAGGCAGAACAGATTGGAGGTGGAAGGTTTTGTGTCTGGCTTGATGTCTCAGTCCCACCATTAGAAGTCTTGCCTGGTTATAGAAGATGGCCAGTTCAGGCTTAGTATCCCCCCATTACTGGGGGCACTCGCTAGAATCACCCTTATAAATTCCAGGAAGTTTCCACTGCATTGCTCCTGAAACGCCGCAGTTCCATTTGTCCCCCCAGAACTGTGCCCTTCACCACTACCCTGCCCTCAGTTCACCCGCAAAATCTATCCCACCTCACCTCTGAGATTAACTGCTGTTAATATTTCAGCATGTTCCTAATTTTCTACCTTTTTACCCAAATATAAAGTTTATATAATATTTTAATACTTTCAGTAAACACACTGTATTTCTGGAATTTAATTAACCCATATTAAGCATATGCTGCCTTCTCCCTCTGACCTGCCTTTCTGCCCTCTGTGCTCCTGGGTTCAGTTCTTGGGTTTTTTCTTCAGTTTTATCATAGTTCCTGAAAGAGGAAGTATAAAAATCTTCCCTGGATTTCTTCTACACCTAAAATCTTTCTTGTTTTGAATATTGTGATTTTTCAGATTGAGGAAATACATACAGCTTACTTGAGCAGTTACAGTAATTAGGTTAACCTGGGACTGTTTACTATTGTTGGAGAAAGCCCAAGCTAGCCTCACATAGTTACCTCAGACTTTTATCTAAAAGTCACCCCAAAGCTTTAGTTTGCAAGGATTCTTGGAATTGAGGCTAGGAGCCATAGCATTGTTCTTAGCAGGTAGCAGCCGCTGAGAATGCAGGCTGTCTTGTGCCCTTCCTGTCAGACCTGGCGTATAGCAGATGCAGACAGCCCAAAGCTAGCTGACTGGTGATGTAGCTCATAACAAAGGAGTGATGAGGGTGACCCAGAGGGAGTAGTTGATTGCTGATACATTTCTTCTTCTAACACTGCTCTTGGGTATATCTTATTTATAGGCCGAAGTCAATTCATCTGGAAAGACTATCGCTGAATCAGACTTAAACCACTCTTTTTCACTAAATGGTTCACAAGACGATTTACCTACAACATTCCAGGGTGCTACAGCCGGCACATCGGTATGGCTCTTGTCCTTTAATACACACACACACCGCATACACACACCACACATACCACATACACACACCACACACTACACACACACACCACATACACACACACCACCTACACACATACATACCACATACACACACACACCACACACACACCACCTACACACATACACACCACATACACACGCACATCCCCTACACAAACATACACACACCCTACATGCGTACAAACACACACTTGTTTGGAGTAAGGTAAGATCCTTCTAGATCAAATACTGAAAATTTTTTCTTAGTAGTAAAGTTATAGCCCAGCGGCCCCACTAATTGTGCTGTTCTGAATACATCTTTCTGGACTTTAGTTTTTTGTTAAGTGGTGTTGGATGAGATAGTTTCTGAGTCCTGCTGTCATTCAGGATGCTTCTTTCACATAATGCAAACCCGCATAAAACATGCATGTTTAGCATGCATCTGATAGATGGGAGGTGCTGCCTTGCCTTGGGGTAGTTCTACCTGTCCTCTGGTCACACATGGCTATCTAAGTTTAAATCAGTGAAGGTTTAGTGAAGTCATCAGTGTTGGCCCTCCAGCACACTAGCATGTCCTAGCCCTAGGCACGCCACAGCAGCAGGTGGTTGGCAGCTCTGTTTAGAAGCATAGATGCAGAACTTAAACTCCACTCACGCAGCCCTGTTGAACACTGCCTTGTGTGGAGTGAGTGGCAGGAATTGTTAGATGAAAGATTGAATGTTTCTTATGAGAGAGCTAGCTCTACTCTGACCCATTGCTTTAAACAGTGAGTCAGCACAGGTGATCAGAGTATTACTGATTAAAAATATTACTGGATTGGTGCTAAATAATGAGGATTATGAGGGGAAAGTGACTTAACATGTATACACGATGAACTTACCACTCTTGGAATCAGTTTTGTTAAAGATTATTTGACTAGGTAACCACATCTTATTTCCCCATGTGGCCTATAGAAGACATTTATTGATTTATTGAGGAAGGTGTGCATATGCTATTATGTATGTATAGAGGGCAGAGGACAATTTGTGGGAATTAGTTCTCTTCTGCCATGTGCACCTGGCACTGAACTTAGGTCACCAGGCTTGGCAGCGGCACCTTTATGCACTAAGTCATCTCACTAATCCTAAAGGACTCAAAGGTCAGAAAAATTGAAAACAAAGAATGAAATAGTTTTGAGTTTTTTTTTTCAGGGAGGAAGATGGCATATCAGTATACTTTAAATCCACTGTCAGGTGTCTTGTAACATATTCCAGTTACACCTATTTTAGTTACTATGTCTGTGACTTACTGCTTTGATATAGTAAGTAGTCTAGGAAAAATACCTGATAGCAGCTTATGTTCCTCAGTCTATCAGTTCTGCGATCTCAGGGACTAAAGTTTGAGTAAGTCGTTCTATTTTATATTAAAAAGCATTCCAGGACTGGTGGGATGGTCCGGTGGGTAAAGACATTTACCACACAAGTCTGGCAACCTGAGATCAGTCCTTGGAGCTACGTCAAGGTAGACAGGACAGACTTCACTAAGTAGTCCTCTGACCTCCACAGTGTATCGTGGAACCTTCACCCACATGTATCATGTGCATGCACACCATAGTAAAGCATTCTATTTAATATAAAAGGCAAACAAAATTTACTCACTGACTATATGACTATAATTATGACTATAATTATTTAGATAGGAAAAATTTTAACATTTCATCAGTATTTAGCCAATGGTCACTGCCCAAAAGGTATCTGAAATACAGAAACCTAAATAAAACATTATATAAGCATTTTTGCTAAAGTACATGTACTAAAGTATTTGGCATCAATTGATTAATTTTGTAATGCCAGGGATGAAGCCTAGAGTCTTGTGTGCAATGAGCCATTTAGGGTGTTTTTTTTTTTTCTTTAAAAGACATGTCTTGCTATGTAGTCCAAGTTAGCCTGGAATTTACCAATCCTTCTGCCTTAACCTTCAAGTGCTCAGAATACAATTACGTTTTAATGATTGTTTTATAAATATATTAATCATACTAATGAGGCTACAAACTATCCTAAGTAAATTTACAACTTAATTTTTGTACTGAAATCCGGATGCCTCGAAAAGGATATGTTAATAGTAATAATATTAATAGTGATTAACACTTAGTAAGTAATTGTGTTTAAGCACTTTATATTGTTAATCCATTTAATCTTCACAACTGCTGAATTGGACATCGTCATTGTACAGATGAGGGAGCTGAGACATTGGCTTAGGAACACATATCTACTAGACAAAGCCAGACTAGAAATAAACGCTTATAATTGTTATATAACCATTATAATTTGTTTTGTTAATTTTATGGGCAAGATAATCTCCCCTCAAACTAAGGAAAAAAATAAGTAAAAACTTTAGTATGAGTCAGTCTCTTAGGCTATAGTGATATTGTCATTGTCTTTTTTCCTTAAGAACCTGTTTCTCATGCCTTTAATTCCAGCACTTGGGAGACAGAGGCAGGCAGATCTCTGAGTTCAAGGCTAGCTTGGTCTACAGAGTGAGTTCTAGAACAGCCAGAGCAACACGGAGAAACACTGTCTCCAAAAAAAAACCTATTCGTTGCTGGGTATGGTGGTGCATACCTACACTTTTTGCACTGAGGGAGGCTGAGGCAAGAGGATCATGTATTCAGGGCTAGCTGGGTCACCAGCTGTTTGTTCTCTTTAAGCCTCAGTTCTCAGATCTACTGAATACATTTATGCTCTTAGCTGAGCGTCAGAAGGATGCAGAAGTTAGACTGTAATTCTTCTCTGTTGGCTGCTGTAACTCAGTTCACTCATTGAATATTGGTTCACTTACTGTATGGCGTTTGTGATGACATGCCACCATGCAACATTGACTTTTATGTGTCTGCACTCTTCCATGGGCAGGTTGTCCCTTGGAGCCCTAGGTTCAAGTCCAAGTTTATGCAGCTCTTAATTCAGCATTGGAGCTACTTTAAGTTCAAACTCACCAGTAGTTTCTCTATAACTCTGTACTATGGGTTAACTAAGAACATTTAAGAAACTATAAAGAATAATTTTAAGAACATTTAAGAAACTACAAAGAGTAATTTTAAGACCATTTAAGAAACTACAAAGAATAACTTTAAGACCATTTAAGAAACTACAAAGAATAATTTTAAGAAACTCAGATTATCTAAGCTTTATTCGTATCCTAGGGATCAAACCCAGGTTTTTGTGGATGCTCGGAAAATGCTCGGAATATTTGGAGGTAGCCCAAGCTGGCCTTGAGTTCAACATCTCCGTCTTTACACTCAATGCTGCTTTTACAGGCGGGAGCCATCACACTCAGCTAGCACATCATAATGTGGAAGTGGATGTCAGCTTTCAAATGGAAATCCTGCAAATAACTCAGACCAGCAGTTTTCCTTCCTGTTAGAGTTGTTGCCAGCACAAAGCTTATACTCTTAATGATTAATAGAAGAATTGGGGTTATATTATTTGATTCTTTTAAGCGTTTACATTTTCCCTGTTGGAAAGTGTTTGAAATACCTTTTATCTAATTCATTTTATTCTGAGTAAAACATTCATTCTTATTTCTTGTCTGAAAAAATTAGTTCTAGTGGTAACAGCTACTCCCAGTGTATGCATTAAAAGCCATTGATGCAGTCGAGGCAGGTCAAGGAGTCTGAGTATAGTCCATACATTGTGTGGCTTCTTTGAATGTGGTATTGCCAGTTGTATTATCTCTGAGGCAAACTCAAGATTTTGAAACCCTTGTGTCACATAATTGTCCTCTGGCTGAGCAGGGCTTTGGGGGAACATCAGGTACAGAGCAGCACACACTGAGGACTCAACGTACTCAGGGCACTCTTGACAGCGTACAATATCCAGCACTGTGTTAAAGAGGTGTTTAGCTCACTTGTCTGGGACTATGGGAAAGGATATGCTGTTTGAAAGCAAGCACATTTCTACAATAGCAATATGAAAGTGTGTGGCTTATTTCCTTACTATGGTTGATGGATGTCGACATGGTAAGGTAATACTGAAGAAGTCAGGTTTATCAAAGGTAAATGACTTGGAGTTCCATTCTTTCTACTCTTTGTAATGGGTAACTCCCAAGTTGAAAGTGCAAAAGATTGCTTCTCTCCTTGGATCTTCTGAAAGAGGAGCAGTACCCAGATGCCTGGCAGAAACTGCTGTTGTGTTTACCATCTGGAGAGACAGAGCAGCGTCTGTGTCTGCTGATAAACAGGCTCCTCCCCCTCGTGAGGGCTCAAGATAACTCGTGTTTCTGGCTTATTCATCAGTGTTGGTACCTAGTCTTAGCATTTTCATGGTCTTTGTAGATTTACCTTCATCATATCCTTAAACTGTTAATGAGTGCATGTACAAATGTTGGTTTTTTGTTTTGTTTTGTTTTTGCCAGTTTTAAACAGATTTTCTTATCGTTTTCTAGTATGGAACCCAGAATCCATCTGGAGCACCCTTGCCACAACCTACCCAACCAGCTCCTAAGAATACCTCCATGAGCCCTCGACAGCGCCGGGCCCAGCAGCAGAGTCAGAGAAGGTCTACTTCCCCCGACGTGACCCAAGGCCAGCCGCCAAGAGCCAACCATACTGAGCACGGCGGGTCTGCCATGCTCATTGTCATCCTGACTTTGGCACTGGCAGCTCTTATATTCCGACGGATATATCTGGCCAATGAGTACATATTTGACTTTGAGTTATAATGCTGGTTTGTGACTTAAGAGCTGAGACTCAGTTGCTTCATTAAACATTCTGCATTGGGTATAACCTAAGGATTGTTTACAAAATATTATTTTGTATTTACCCTTCATTACTTTTTTATTGTTATAAATTCTTTGTGCTATAGGTAGACATTCAGGCCGTGTCCCAACAATTTGTCCTGCTTAGATTAAGGGACTGGAAGCCATAGTTCCTTGTCTATTTAATCTACGTCACAAACAAATAACTTATTGTGATTGCTCATACCCAAGCTGCTTTCCCATGGATTTGCAATGCTTTTCTATGTAGTCCTTTGGAGTTTTCAGATAAAAGGTGGTGTTTTCACATCCACCAGTATTACTGGTTACTCAGTATCACTTACTGAGTACCCTCTCTAGTTGTGTAGAAGAGAGGATGAAGAACGGCAGGGGGAGGGCACATTGCTCACTAGCTTCTTGAAAAGCATCATAGTAGGACAGACTGGGGTTGCCCATTCTGTGATCTTTGTATTTGAAACTTTGGTCAGTGAGAATAATTTTATTTCAGACATTGATGAAGATCTTCGTTGTATTTTTGTTTTTGGATATTACTTGAAGAGGAAAGGCTTTGTAGTCACTTTGTATGCTGTCAACCCCTCCAGTATGCACACAGAGGAGAACAGGCCGTTATAAAGCGTCCATGCCAAGAAATAGTTCGATCTTCTTTCATGTTAGGTGAGGAGATCATAAAGTTTGACTCTGCTCTGCTTTCATTTGTACCTGATGTGAGTTATATGCCCAGCTCTGTAGTCACTGTAGCTTTAAATTATTCCAGGAATATACATAATATTCAAATATTAATAGAAGAACTCAGGGCCCAAGTAACAGTAGTAGAGGGATTAAAAACAATCCAACTTTTATTTAGAATTGTTCACTAATCAAAGCCCAAGAAAGATTTCAATGGAAAAGTTGATCTATCACTTAGTGCCAGTCAGTTCCCCAGATGCTGACATCGAATTTGTAATCAGTGCCTAGTGAGACCACTTAAGGCAGGATTGCCTTGGGCATGTTCCTTCAGCAACCTTGAGGGAGCTCTTAAGGGGCCTGTATTGCTGATTTAACTGGAAAATATAGGTAGTCCCGAGCTTTTAAATATATCATGCCCATTTTTAAGCTTTCTTTTGTTTTTTGTTTTTTAAAGACAATATAAATAGTTATCTGGGTTCTAGGTCAGTCTACAAAAGTTAGTAGCGCATACATATTTTAAGTATGTGTCAGGGCCGGGCAGTGGTGGAGCGCGCCTTTAATCCCAGTACTCGGGAGGCAGAGGCAGGTAGATCTCTGTGTTTTCGAGACCAGCCTGGTCTACAAGAGCTAGTGCTAGGACTGGCTCCAAAGCTACACAGAGAAACCCTGTCTCGAAAAACAAAAAAAAAAAAAAAAAAAAGTATGTGTCAGGGTATAGTTGTAAAGTCTTTATGTGGTTTTAACTAAATACAGTTATGAGCAAGATAGAAACAGCACACAAAATCATTTTAGAGGTGAGTTTAATTTTTACTTCTATTATGTGATTTTTGGGTCTGTTAACATAATTTCCATTTTTATTTGGTAGCCAGTTTTCGTTGTGTCAACACCTAAAATTTAAAAAGGTTCTTATGCTGTAATAAGTTAAATTATTAAAGTTTAATAGATTAGCATTTTATAGTTATTCAGATTGTTTATGAAACTGGTAAAGTCTAAAAAGCCAAGAATATTGTGATGACCTCCTGACAGGAAGACTATAGGTTACCATTTTTTAAAATTTTCTTGCTGTGAAAAGTATATTTTGAGGTCTTAGTTTATAATACCAAATATGAAAAACATTGATTGGGTCAGTGGTCTCCTAGGAAGAAGCCAGTAGCCCAGTGGAAGCCTGGGTGGCCTTCCCGTTTAGGAGAGAAACCCCACACTGTCACCCTGTGCTGAGATGGCTCATCGCTAGAGCAGTCTTCCTCCCAGCCAGACTGGCAGCTCTGGCAGCTCTGTGATCCTGCTGCATCTTCCGTGGGAACCTCTGCTAAGCACTGAGGTTGCTTTGTGATCTCATCCATTCTCCCCTCACTGTTGCTAACTGGCTACCTCCGAATGTGTGTTGGTATTTTTTAGCACCTGATACACACATCAAAGTGGTACAGTTTACTTCCCAACCATAATGCTATCTAAAAATTGTCTTCCCACCCCCACCTTGGAATCACTGAAGCGCCTCCATTGTTAAAGCCTCAGTTTAGCCCTTAGTCCCAGCATATGGCCCAAACCATGTAGACGCTGCTAGGTACAGTCTTAGGATTCCTGTTTCTCTAGTTCTCAGATTTCAAAACTCACAGCTTCACTGACCAGCATAGCATATGACTGCACATCACGGTAGTTAAAATAGCATGCTTGAAAATTGCCTGTTCCGCTTGTAGAGGTGTGAGCCCTGAGCCTTCCAGACCTTCTGTATGTTTGGAGTTTATGTAGCACTTTACTCTTCCATGCTGCTGATTGTTTTATTCTACTGAAATAAATGATTTCATCAAGCTTCTCAATGAATTAAATAAAAACTTATTTATTGAGTTTGCTATGAAGATGACAAATTTCCCTCATATTTCAGGAGAATAAGAACTCTGTTTATTCAGCTTTGGTTTGTGAAGAAACATTGTGGTGTCTTGAGAGGAGGGCCCATTTTATACCCAGAATCTAAAGCCTCGCAGACCTGTTTTTACAGGGACCTGCAGATAAGTAGGTAGTGAGTGGACACAGAGACTTTTCCTGGGGACACTGAGACTAGTGAAAACAGGGCTCTACCTCCAGACCAAAGAACAGTTCACCCAAGACGATGCTAGTGCACTAGTGAGTTTAATGGGGTTACTTAGAGGAGCACAAAGGAATTAAAGGCAGTGACATCGAGGAAAAGGCACCTCAGCTTGGGTGAGAACCCGGGAAACAGCATCCCTGGAGGACCTTGCATGACGACAGGCAGGATTGGAGTCTTCCCCAAGCAGTTGCTGCTTCTGTGACCTCGGGATGGGGTTTGTGAATCTTGTTTCAGGAGCTTCGTAAGCCTTGCAGGTTTCCTGTATTCCTGAGTCTTATAAGCTCCCCTTATTTTTTCAAAGGAGAGCACTTCGGTTGGAGGGAAATAGCTATACTACACCAACCGACCAAGAGTAGTGAGGATGTACCGGAACCACTGAGACTGGCAGGAAGCTGTTCAAATACCTTTTGAATGGGTGTTTTCAGAGCCGTGTGGCCTGCCCAGTAAAACCAGGGACTATACTCACAGCTTGTTTTTGAACAAAGGTGATGTTCTAATCTTACCTCTTGTCTATTCCTTTGAGTGCCATGTCTGGATCTTTACACTTATCTTGCGCTTTTTGTTGCTGTTTTCATAGCCACTTTCTAGCCTGTGCAGTTGCCACTGGATGTTCCAGTCTGGTGCCATTCTTTATAAACAGCCAGGCTTCATTCAGGACTCCTGCTTCTGCTTCTCCCATTGCCTAAGCCATCCTGCTGGCATGACCGGAGTCCTGCTTCAGCTAACGTCTCTGAGCTCTAGCCCATGGGCTCTGTCTTCAAATGAGCCAGCGTTCCAAGCTAGACTATTCATAGCCTGTGCCAAAGACAAAAATGAAGTCAAAGGGAATCGTAGACCTCAGTGTAAGAACTACAGCCAGTGGCAAACACCTGTGGTGCCAGCACTGGACGGGCAGGAGCAGGGGGGATTGGAGTTCAAGGCCATTGAGCTACATAGCCAGACCCCATGTCAAAACTGAGCAGCTACAACTATAAAACCTTAGAAGAAACTGCCTTGTCACCCTGGGCTAGGACTAACTTCACAGCTACACGTTCAAAAGCACAAGGAACCAAAGAAAGGGATGCTGTAATTCATTGAAAGAAAAACTTATTTTTGTATTTCAAAGACCCTCTATCAAGAAAGTAACAGCTGGGCTTAGTGGCGCATGTGTGTACTCCTTCACTTAGGAGGAAGGTGGATCGTGTGTTCCAGGCTAGCTGGGCTATGTAATGAGACCCTGTTTCAAAAAACAAGCCGGGCGGTGGTGGCGCACACCTTTAATCCCAGCACTCGGGAAGCAGAGGCAGGCGGATATCTGTGAGTTCGAGGCCAGTCTGGTCTACAAGAGCTAGTTCCAGGACAGGAACCAAAAGCTAGGGAGAAACCCTGTCTCAAAAATCAAAAAAGAAAAAAAACCCTCAAATAAATAAATGCAATTCATTGCTAAACTAGATAACTTGATTTAAAAATGACAACAGATTAGAAGCTGGGCATGGCGGCACATACCCGTAATCCCAGGATGTGTGAAGTAGAGGCAGGAGGATCAGTTTCAAGTCCTTGGCTACATAGTTTAAAGCTAGCCTGAGCTACATGAGACCTTTAAATACACACACACACACACACACACACACACACACACACACACACACACACTAAAGCAAAAAGCTGGCATTTGAATACATTTCTGCAAAGGAATATGGCTAGCATGTGCATATAAAGAGAAGCTCTGCATCATTAGCTGTTGGGAAGCTGCACATCAAACCACACCAAGATGCCACTCCACAAGTATGGCTAGGATGCTCACACTATAGACTACAAACTCCCGATAAGTTGTGGTGCAGCCTGTGGTCCTAGCACTAGGGAAGTTGAGGCCAGTGTGGGCTACATAGTAAAACCCAATCTTAAAAGTGGGGAGGGGGTTTGGGGAATGAGCACTCGCTGCCCTTGCAGAGATGGGGTGTGGCTCTCAGCACTCAGGTGACAGCTTAAAGCCATCTCTAAGGCCAGTTCTAGGGTGTGTTAGGGTTTCTGTAAAGACACCGTAATCACAGCAAAAGGAAAACAGTCCCTTATCGCATGGGACATGGTGGCATGCTGGCAGACATAGTGCCGGAGAAGGAGCTGAGTGTCCTACATCTTGTGCAGGCAACAGGAAGTGGTCATCTCACTGGGCATGGCTTGAGCGTGTGAGACCTCAGAGCCAGCCTCTACAGTGATATACCTCCTCCAGCAAGGCCACACCTCCTAAGAGTGCCACTCCTTTTGGGGACCATTTTTTTTTTCAAATCACCACACGGTATCTGATGCCCTCTTCTGACTCCCTCGGGTACAAAGCACACACAGTGTGCATACACATAAATGCAGGCAAAACACTTATACACATAAATCTTCTACACACACACACAGATGATTTTGTGAAGAATTTGGAATCCTTTATTTCTGGTGAGAATGTAAAATGGTGCTGCCACTTTAAAAAATTACGTCCCTTAAAAAGTGAAACATGAAGTTACTGTATGACCTAGGAATCCTAGTCCACTTTTTTTTTTAAAAGATTTATTTATTTATTATGGATACAGTATTCTCAGTACTCTGTCTACATGTATGCCTGAAGTCCAGAAGAGGGCACCAGATCTCATTACAGGTGGTTGTGAGCCACCATGTGTCTACTGGGAATTGAACTCAGGACCTCTGGAAGAGCAGTCAGTGCTCTTAACCTCTGAGCCATCTCCCCAGCCCCCCTAGTCCACTTTTGATCCCAAAGGAAAACGTGGGATCGATCAGTGGTTAAGGTACTTGCTGCTAAGCCTGACAGCCTGAGTTTGATCCCAGGGTCCTACACTCGTTGGGAGCAGAGGATTGATTCCTGCCAACTGTCCCCTGACCTCAACACATGTGCTGTGTCACACCAAAAATGTCTATACAGACATTCATAGCATTGTTGTTAAAAGGTGGAAACAGGCTGATGAACAGCCAAACAGCATGACTTCCAGCTGTGTGATAGGACACAGTCTTTGCCCATAAAAGGGATAGGTGAGCAAACATGCTGCAACATAGATGAACTTTGAACACGTTATGCTGATACATGCTATAACATAGATGAACCTTGAACACATTGTGCTGACACATGCTATAACATAGATGAACCTCGAACATTTTATGCTGATACATGCTATAACATAGATGAACTTTGAACATGTTATGCTGATACATGCTATAACATAGATGAACCTTGAACACGTTATGCTGACACATGCTATAACAGATGAACCTTGAACACACTATGCTGGTACATGCTATAACATAGATGAACCTCGAACATGTTACGCTGATATGCTATAACATAGATGAACCTTGAACACATTGTGCTGAGGGAAGGCTATGCATTGTGGGATTTTATTTACATTAAGTGTCCAGAGCAGACAGACCCTGTAGACAGTGTTTGTAGCTGACAGGTGTGAAATTCTGTCAGGACTGGCAGCAAGTCACTTTACCTCCTGACCCATCTCACAGCCCCCACGGACCCATTTAGGTCATTGTAATTAAGATCTCCAAATGATTCACAACCGGAACGGCCAGCTGAGTCAGAAACCGTGTTCTGCTTCCTAGATCCAATAACCTGCGTTCTGTCCGCACCATGCTGGGCCTCCACTGCTGACTCCTCCCTTCCTGACATCCTTCTTTACCTTCCCAGTCAGCTTCTCAGCTGGTCTTTCCATGCTTCTGCTCTGGCTGCCCCAGTCACCCCTTCATTAAAACAGTACAGATGGTACTGTTACCAAACTTGGGGTTCACAGTCTTAACCCGAGAAGCCAAGTTCAGCAACTAATTCTCGAGAATCCAGCTAAACTAGCCAAATCACACACACACACACACACACACACACACACACACACACACAAAAAAAAAAAACAGAAAAAAGAGATTTATTCAGTGTAGCCACATTGGAAAAGGGACAAAGAGAACCCGCACAGTTAAGCTGGGTCACGCTGTGGCCTCACCCACCATTAATACATTGTCAGGGCTCAGTCTCATTCTGTAAGGCTGGCTGACAAGTTGTACATCTCTTCTCGAGCTTTTTCCCTCTTGGATGGCTCCTTCTCTTCTCCCAGCATGAAATTCTTGGGGGATTCCCATCTAGGGGGTCCCCTAGCCCTACGTGGGGTAGTTTCTCGTATCTAGGTGGTTACTCTAGCTGCCTGTTGGTCCAATGCTCACACAAATTCTAGGGTTAAAGTTTATCTCCTCTCTCCACTACACTTGCCTACTTGAAGTGTAGGTTAGCAGTGTGCTGCTGTGGGATATTTTAATCACACTCTGACACTCCCAAGACTGCCCAATAAAGTTACACCTTGAATCGGGGTGGAGCCAGTATGTAGCTAACAGGAACTGGTCATGGAGAAGCCAGCAATCTGGGTAAAGAAGACACACAGGAAAGAAAGGGCGAGGGCTAGAGCGTGAGTTCTTTTGGTTCTGGGATAAGTGAAGAGATGTGTCTCTTGTGGTGTGTCTGGTCAAAAAGCAAGGCCAGCTAGTTACTACCCAGCCTCTTTGAGCTAGCAGGTTTTCACCCCAGCCTTCGCTTCTGAGTCTTATTGATAAATAGAATGATAGAGTCTTAATTTAAACCTACATATGCAGTCACAGCAGTCAGGGACATGGGACCAGAAGCCCCACCAGGCCACAGCCTGAGTTGCCCACAGGGCACTGACTGAGGGGCCATGGGCAGTAGACAATAATTAAAATAGCAGTAGA